TACGAGTATGTAAGTGGTAGTCGAGCAACTAATATTGCGTTCAACCTACACTGCACAATAAACGAAAGGTAGAATGAAAGAAGATACTTTTGAAAAGGAAATACATGCAAATACACATACATATATGTACATTTTTCGGCTTTTACCACGACAAAGTGCTAAACGAGCCGAAATAGCCGAGGAAAACCAACCGTAAATCTACAGTTCTCTTTGCAACGTGGTATTAACACTTCAAAGAATTTACTTCTTTTGTCTTACCTTGAACAATATCTTTCTCTACTTACTTTGACCTGCGTTTTCGCTTGTAAAATAAACAACTATTTGCTATGCCTGTTTGTTTGTTGTCGTCACATTGACATCTTTTACCATATGTTTGGAAATGGAAAGTACAGACAATGTATGGCATAAACACCAACAACAAAGGGGGGAAAAATAGAAAAAGAAAATGTTTTTGTAGCGGAATAATAAGTAAGCCGGTCGCTTGACGTGCAATACACCTCGCAGTAACTCAATATATATGTAGGTGTGTGAGTTTAACTATTGTAGAATGCAAGTAGGGACATAAACTCGTAAACTCGTATATATATGTATGTATGTCTGTAAGTACAGACATATTCGCATAAGTTGACCAAAAAATTTTAAACTCCAAACCGTTTCTTTGACGTGTTTGTTATATGTAGCAGATTTTGTTGTCGTTGTTGTTGTTGTTTTTGCGCCAAATTTTGGCGTTTCCTCTTTGAACATTTTTTTTTCCTACACTTTTTGTACAAATATAGTTATGTGTGACTTTGTATGCGTGCAAGTATTTGTTATTGCTTTTGCTATTTGTCGAAAATGAAATTCAATAAAGCGAATATGCATATACACGTATATGTATGTATGTTGCTTGCTATTGCAGCGCATTCCAGCGCGTAAATCATACAATGCGTCCGTAATCGGTAAGCAGGTAGAGAGTAGAGAGTAGAGAGGGAGACGTTACGTCCGTCAGTCGTATCATTTTGTGTCAATGTTTACCAATTAAGAATAGATAAATGCGGGTAGTGGCAAATATACATACATATGTACATATAATATGTATGTCTGTATGTATGTGTGCACGTGTGCAGGCATAAATATGTAAATGCCAAAGTAATGTGAAAATTCGTTACACGAGCTGCGTACGCATCCATACCTACATGCATGCATACATACAGGCATATGTACCTACCATAAGTACCTGTGCGCATATGCATAAATATTTAAAAGCAAGACAGATACTTGACAGACATACACGTACATATGTGTGTATGTATGTTTATACAAAGAATGTATAAGCGTGCCTTTTAAATGAAAAAAGTAACAACAACAAGACTATTTATGTATAACCTTAACAGCTACTTAGATATATACAATTGTACATATTTACATTTACATATATACATACATACATACATATATATATATACATATATACATACATGCATATGTATATACTATATATGTATGTACATACTTAAGTGGCATCTATAAGGAAATCGTAAAATTGTCTAGTCCGATTTTTATACCAATTTGCGTCGCAATATATAAATTTGCATACAAATACTATATATATATGTACGAGTATGTATAGCACATTATATTGAATGGTGGGTGCGCGCACTTGACAAGAATTGAAATTTGAATTCCCTATAAGTTTTCCATTAATTACTTATATAAATAATTATGGATCTTAAATGTGCGCCTCGCTATTTATTTATTTATTCAAGCCTACCCATATTTTGTGATATTTTGCAATGCAGCGCGTTTGTTGCATACATGCTTCAATGTTTATGCAAATATCATTATCATTTTATTTACACTTATTTTTTGCATTTTTATTTATATTTTTATTTTTTTATTAAATTGCATCGATTTACATTCAATAAATAGAAAAAAAATTTTATGGAATTTAAGATGCAATGTTTGCAATTTGTATGGTGTAAAAAGAACAACAATTTGAACGTTTCTTATAAAAAAATGTTTATAGAGAATATTATTTTCATATGTACATATTTGTATGGTTGTATGTGTTTTGCAATAGCTGGGCCCATCTATAATGTTAAAACAAAACAAGAAAGAAAGAAAGCTGTCTTCATTTCTGATAAAATATTAATTCTCATAACTGAAAAATTGATTCAACGGGTGGACTACGTGTGTGGAACACCAAATTTCATACATTAAGATGGCTTTTTGACGAAATTTAGACCAAAGCCTCATATCTTAAACAAATGTATGAATGTTATAGCCGTCCGATTTCGATGATTTTTAACAACTATCTGTGTGCAGACTACCAAATTTCATCTTAAAATTGGCAAAGTTATGACCCGAAATATAAAATTCGAAAAATCGGTTAAATATATGTCATGGTTTTCCGATCTGGGCGGCTCCGAAAAATAATCGTTTAAATGAATGAGTGCATCGGTGAAGCAAGTTTGATGGAAATATCTCAAAAACTGAGAAACTAGTTTGCATATAAACAGATGAACAGACGTGGCTAAATCAACTCAAGTCAAACGAAAATTGCCATTTTAGACAAATTCGAATGGTTGTCCTTTAGTTCTTCATAGAGAAGTTCTAGTACATACATACATATACATACATTAATTTCCTTAAAAATTTTTAATATGATTATTTGCTTTATTTATTTATTTAATTGTTTTTCACACAATTTCATTAACTAAAGTCTGACGCATAAGAATCTTTTAAGAGAAGCACAAAACCACAAATGTGCTTATTTAGTTGAAAATATATCAACCGCGGTGCCGTACATTGAGGTTTACCTAACCCTGATAATATGAATGACAAGCCGCAATTCATTTAAAAGAAAGTATGAGTACATACATATATACATAAATACGAATTTATTACCGCTGAAGCGATTTTTGGCCGAACAAATTGGTCGAATGACGTTTTTACTCGGTAAAAGTGTATTTTCATTATATATATATGATATATATTATAATATTATATATATATGATATATATTGGCGCTCTGTAACCACTCAAGCGATTTTTTACTCGAGCTCCTCTTACAATTAGTGGTTTTTCGTCTTGATGTTTTTCCAACAAAATCGAGGGACCTACAGTTTATACTAAGCCGCCTCTGAACGGCTGATGTTTTTTTTTTCTATGAGAAGTTTTATTTCAGGTCAGAAATGCACTCGGAGGAGTCGACATTCCCTGCCGAGGGGCGACCGCAATTCGAAAATTTAATTTAATTTTTTATTAAAATTAATTTTCCATAAATTTTGGATGTAGGTGGCACCGGGATGTAAACCCGAGCCTTCTGAGTATCAATACGCAATGCTAACCACTCGGCTACTGCGGCCGATGACAAATATGAAGGCGAGAAACTTCAGCTCTGATGAATGGGCGATGATTTGTCAATGCTTTTAATGCCCAGCTAAGAATATAAAGCTTATTTTGGACAGCAATTATAATTATCGAAGATGATAACATTTAAAATCCTTTTTCTTTTTAGCTAAGCTCTGTTATTTAATGTCGATGTATTTTTAATTATTTAAACAATCAAAACCGCTCCGTAATGCCAACATTGCGAACCTCACTTTCAATTATTATTAAAACATAAATAAAATAAATATAAACATGATGAATAAGAAAACTTTTTATATGCATACAGTCGCATCAGTAATAGCGCGCCTCGTTCCTTTTTCGCTCTTTGGCGCCAGTACCATGCGAAATTGGGTCGCTCTCCATCTTACCTTAACATGGGAGTGGAAATCTTCCTCTTCATCATCGGAACTTTCTCGTTATTAAACAAAACTTCGTTGCTGTTTTCTGTATTTGAGGCTTTAAAATAAAAATAAAATTATAAAAATTAAATTATAAAAATAAAATTATAAAAATAAAATTATAAAATTAATTAAAAGATAGAATTTTAAAATAATCACAAAAATTTTATAAATTCTTAGCATAACAGCCAGTGTTTTCTTCATTGTTTTATGAGAGACTTAAGCTATGCAGAGACTTGTGGCATATCTGTCTGGGTTTACGTCCAATAATCTCGGTAATTTCCCCTACAATAGTATCTCGTTTTGAAATAAAAACCTTGATTACCTTCTCTTAGGCCATTCCACAAGATGGCAATCGGGTTCATATCAGAGGATTGTATTGGCCTTTGCCTAGTGATATTGAATTTACAATTTGTTATTGTTTTTTCATATGAAATGAAACACCCGAGCCCTGCCAGAAGAAACAACTTCGAACAAAAAATATTTTCTACATTCCTAAACAATTAATCCTTACTAAATCTTCCAGTAGTCATAAATTTCGATCGAAGCCATCATCTTATACTAAAAATAAAACTGTTAAAATAAATTTTTTTTAAACTGATAATCCCGCAACTTTGTTACATTACAAAATCCAATGCAAATTTTACCACCACCTCCCCATTTTCATTCGTCATGCCCAGAACACACCCCCTCCCACGCTTCTGATCTCTACGATAAGTGACCTAGTCTATGCGTGGATACGTCAGCCATTCAGAACAAGAGTATACTTGTTTCCAACTTTTAGAATCGTCCGAAATGGTGGCTCTCTTTGGAAGAAAAGTAGTTAGGTTTTATATATAATAGTATTTTAAACGATTTTACCAAATTTGTGTTAGGTGCGAGTTATTGCACCTTCAGTTCTATTTTTTTTTTTTTGTAATTGTCTGGACTATTGATTAAATAAAATTAAATTATTCAAACAAAATGTTCAAACGGAAATAAATTATAATTTTGAAATAGATTGACTGAAGGCCGAAAAATTTGTAGTTGAGACCAATAATCCGTTTTCGTTTGAAGAAAAATGTCGAACGGGACATTGATGACATTGATATGGAGTTGCATATGGAAACTGAAATCATTAGCTAAATTATTTGTAATAGTAATATTTTTAAATAATATTAATATGTATCATTCATTAATTTTAAGCAAAATATTTTAATTTCCACACTTTCTACTTTTTTTCTTTTCCAGAATGTTGATCATAAAATGCGTTTCCGTTCAAAGAAGGGACAATTGCCATTCATTGAATTGAACGGTGAGGAAATCGCTGATTCAGCCATCATTATTAAGGAGTTGTCAGCACGTTATGACAAGCACTTGGATGCCGCTCTAACAACAGAGCAACGTAATGTGTCATATGCCATGATTGCTATGTTGGAGAATCATTTGATTTGGATTATTTTCTATTGGCGCGCCAAGTATCCCGATAATGTACTGAAAGGTTATAAAGTGAATTTGCAACACGCACTCGGCTTACGTTGGCCGAATTCGATTTTGAATTTTGTTTTTAAATTCACTTTCGGACGAAAGGTTTGTAAATAACACGATACATACATATATACTACGTAAAATAAATGCGATTATATACGTAAAAATCGTACGCTTAATTTGCTTGAAGTAATTAACTAAATAATGTACCTCTTTGTATAACACATTTTGGCATATAAAGGGTGTTTTTTTTTTTTAAATATGTGGTTTTCATGAAGATATAAAATGCATACAATCTAATTTCACGACCAAAGGCAAAGCTTTGTCATTAAGTTTTAAAAAGGATTTCGGACAAGTGATGTCGCGGTTGGCTCGAATTTGTTCTACAGTTTTCCACCAACTTTTTCAGCCATTGGGTCCGGATGTTATCTGCATAGACAAGCGACTTCACATAACAACACAAAAATTAGTCCAGCGGTGTTAAATCGCCACGCCACTGGTGCACCGCGCGCTCACCAAAAGTTTTCTTCAATAAACTGATTGTTCCATTGCTTGTATGACATGCAGCGCCATTTTGTTGAAACCAAAGATCGTCACATGCCATGCGCGTTTCCTTTGATTGTAACATTAACCGTACTTCATTTTGATCCATTCAATATGCTTCCTTAAAACCTTACTTGAAATGGATGAGCACAGCTAGAATTATTACGCGATAAGACGGATGGACTCATGCGGGTCTACTTCGATACTCTGCTTCACAGCAGCAATAGCGTCTTCGTACATTTCTGAATATGCGTATTATCCACTAGAGTAAACGTCCGACCCATGACTGCTTGTGTTACTGGTTCTGCTCGGAGGTTATGTCAACCTAATGTTAGGTGCAGCACACGTTAAGTTGCACGAACCGAACCATTTGCCAATGTTGTTCCATAGTAAGCCTGTTCATTATGAAATGGCAAACCGAAGCATAAATCAAGTAACAGATGTTATTGAAAACCACATATCTTCAAAAAAACACACACCCTTTGCATACATTCTGCATACATATAAATCATACTAACCATCATACATACTTACATACACATTTATTTATTTTTATATGTAAAATGAAAAACATTCTAAAGCTCCTGCTATTGAGTTGATAAGAAATGTATTTCGTTAGCTTTATTTTGTTTTTATTTTGCATTTCCATTAGTCACCAACAACATTTTTTTTTAATTATAAACAGTATTCACACACATGGGGGCACAGAAAGCAAAAAACAAATACAAAAAGATTAATAATAAAAATTTTGTTGCAATTACTCACTTCATTAGCTGCACATATTTCTGCACTTATTAATTTACATACATAAATACAATAATTCATAATATCACAGACGCCTGCATCGCTACATTTAAACGCTTTTCGCTTTCTCATATCATAACCATAAACAGTAAAAATCAGCAAAAAGGTACTTTCGCAAACGCAATTGCAAACATACATATGTACATGTCGTATATGTTATATATGTAAATGTTAAATATATTGTATGTAAACACAAATTAATGGAAATTATATAGTAAACTATTAAAATAACTAACTGCTGTTGCACTTCTTGCGGCCAATTTGTTTAAAAATTATGCAGGTTTCATGGGTAAAACGTATGTATGTAATTCTTTACAGTTTATTATTATTTTTTTTTTTTATGTTTGATTTTTTTTTTTCAATCTGAAAATACAGAAAATTAAAGCAAAGTGTAAAAAAAAGTTAATTGAAAAAATAATTCAATTTTCATAAAATGTTAAAGATTTTTTTTCAAATGACGAAAACAAACAAAATTTTAGTACCCGGCAGAGCGTAGATTCTTTAGAGAATAGAATTTTTTGTAAGAATAGTTAGTATTAGAAACATAATATGAATGATATTAACTACTTATATATCCACTTGTTGAGTAGTCAATTTATCGTTAGTTGAAAGCAAATTAATTTTATCAGCCAATATTGCCACATAAAAGTAGATATGGCATTGCCATATGTAGTCGAAAAATAGTTTAATTGTAGTAAAAATGTATTCAATTTAGTTCCCTTTAGTACATACATATTTACATACATACTCGTATATAGGCTATAATTTAATACATTTTTGAAGATTTGTGAAGAGAAGTTAGACTTTAGACGTTGCATAACAGCATCCAATATGTCTCAGGCCATGAAGTGCAAGCTTACGAGGAGAACTAGAAAAGCAAGTGACTGTTCTCTTTATTTGCATATACATCGTTTTCTACAAACGAGTTAATTACAGCGCGCCATTCATTCACTCTTCGCTAATCGGAAATATTAGGTACAGTCAGGTCTTCTTCATATCCAACAGAGGGGAGATCTTACTCTTGCTCTGCTTCCACCGGCTGGCACTGCAACGAAAACTTTCAAATTTGGAGTATTCGCATACATAGTACCACGTGACCTAGCTAGCATAGCGGTATTCACCGTTGCCAATGCGGGTCGATTCATCATAAGTTGGCATTGTTCATGCCTCTGCACCATACAACAAGACGACTTTTAGAATTTGATCATTGTTTGTCGAGATAGCACTTTTCAATTGCCTACTCAATCCTAAATAGCATCTGTTGTTAAGAGTAGCATTCTGAGTTGTTAATGCTGGCTTCAAGATAGACGGAATTAGTGACTTGAGAGCCGATCTGCGAATTTGATGACTGATCGTTTGATGACAGAAGATATTTCGTCATCTTGCCCTCGTTTAAAACTAGACCCATAGGCTTTGCTTTCTTATTTGGTCTGGATAAAATAGAACTCCGGCGCCGTTGTTGAGCCCAATGATGTCGATATCATCGGCGTACGACAGCAGCTTCTACAGTTCGTATTATTTTCTCTAGCAATAAGTTAAGGAAGTCTCATGATAAGAAGTCTCTTTGTCCGAAACTTAGTTTAGTATCGAATGGCTTGGAGAGGTCCTTCTCGATCCTAACTTAGCTTTACTGTTGCTTAACGCCAGCTTACACAGCTGCATAGGTTTTGCCGAGATACCAAATTCAGCCATAGCGACGTCCTTTTCGTGCTGTCGAAGGCTACTTTAAAATCGACAAACTGGTGGTGTGTGTCAATACTCTTTTCAGGGGTATTTTCCAATAATTGACGTATGGTGAATATCTGTTCAATGGTTGATTTTCCAGGTCTTAAGCCACACTGACAAGGTCCAACCAGTTTATTGACAGTGGGCTTCAGTCATTCACCAAATACGGTCGATAAGACCTTACAAGTGACGTTGAAGAGGTTTCTTCCACAGTAAATGGCGCAGGCTGTGTGTGGTCGCCCTTTCTGTGGACTGAACAGAGCGTTTTTAGCATACGTTGGACATGCTTTCATCCGACCATATTCTACAATATTCTTTATCAGTTCTTCGCATTCGTTTTGAATAGCGCGGCCGGCAATGCCTGTTGTTTTCAAGCCGGCAATTGCTTTTGAGCTTCTTCATAGTTAAGCTAGTCAGCTCCCGACTCAGCAACCTTAAATACTCCTCTGACTCCTCTGACTGTAAACCATAATAGAAGCCAATATAAACAAACAACATATTCACTCGTTGTTGTTTTTCAACCACAAAACTTTTCTATAAAATTGTTTTCGGATAATGTTGCTGCATGGACGATCGCGGGAACTACTGGATTTTAGTCGCCTCTCATGACAGACTTGTCTTACCACGAGTACATTGAATCTTCCCTTACCCGCGGGGGTATCCACTCAATTCAATCGGCGCTTTGTGACCGCTGAAGCGATTTTCTATGTTCATAAGTCAAGATTTAATTCTTTGTTTGGCCCAGGTATAATATTGTAAAAATGCGAAGTTGACTTGCGCACGATCGATACCACATTACAACTATGTGTTTGCTTTATAGGTCGCTCTTGCTGGTGAAGCGTTCTAATTTCCCCCAATCATACGTGCCCATCTCTTCAAATCTGGAGTAATATATAAATTCTCAGAGGACTGAGAGCCGGACACTTACAAAAATAATGCTCCAGTATTTTGTGTTCTTCTTCGTAGAAGAATCCTGGCCTTGTGTCGCTCATTTAGGCCCATCAGTATCCTAGAACCGAAATCCTTGCCTTTCACCGATGATTAATTAAATAATTAGTACTCGCACAATAACTTTTTCCCCAAAATCTGAAGCCTAGCCTGGAATTAGATTATTGATTACCCCTACCTGGATCTTGAGCAGGAAAAAACAATCTGTTATCTAATTAATTGCTTTTTCTTTAATCGCGCATCGTCGAGGATAAACTTTTCTTAATTAATCTTCCACTTCGAGCCATCTTACTATAGACCAGAAAGGAATACAGGATTAAAGAATGAGAACCTGCTTGGAGACTATTATATTGGGAATTAAAATTCTATTTTAGCCAAAAGGAAAAAAAATGTTTCCTTTACATATTTAATATATACATAAACAAGCATAGATATATAATTAAATAAAAACATTGATTTGCGTACACTTTGTCTATTGCACTCTGCTTTAAAAACCATTTGTAGTTTACATTTGTAAATATTATTATCACACCAAAAATTGCTTAAACTCTCCCGCCTATTGTCGTCTTACACTTACGATTACTGTCGACATTTTTATATACTCGTATGTATTGTACAAAAAAAGAAAAAATTGCTGATTTTTATTGTTTCCAACATGAGTTCCACCCCCATAATATAATTTGAAATATCGCGATTTTTCATAAATAGTGGTTCCAGGGTTCGAAAAAATTGAAGGCTCACGGCATCGGTGTACACAGCCCCGAAGAGATTGAGGAATTCGGTAAGAATGATTTGAAGGTCTTGAGCGAAATGTTGGATTGCAAGCCATTCTTCTTTGGTGATGAGCCAACCACTTTGGATGTGGTCGCGTTTGCCATTCTATCGCAACTGCATTATTTATCAAAGGATATTTCATATCCGTTACGTGATTTCATGACCGAAAAATGTCCCAATTTGGTTGGACATGTGTCGCGAATGAAGGAGAGATGCTTTCCCGATTGGGATGAGATTTGCACAAAATTGGACTTGAATGCTCATATTCCAAAGCCAGAGTAAGCGAAACTATTATCTATATACATATACATATATGACAAAATTTAATATGAAGTTTTAGTATAACTATCTTTTGGTATATATTAATATTAATTTATATATTGTTTTGTATTAAAACTAGGCCTGAAACAAAGGAGGGCAAGGAGGGTGAACCAGAGAAATCAAACGAGCAAGAAAACGATTCCGATAAGAACGAGAAGGAATTGGAAAAAGACAAGGTATAATATTTAAGTCTAGAATAAACTTATTTAATATACATATTATAATATTAAATATGCGTATTGTAATTATGCCGACTGACTGATACCGCTATTGACATTTAAGGGGTTATACACGCAGTTGGGAGCCTCAAAAAATTTTATGATTTTTGTATATAAGCCAATTTTTTTTAAAAACTTTTAATACTATTATCGATAATGTAAAAATAACCTGATCTAACCGGAGTTAAGTCGACGAAAGAGTGACAGTCTAGTGCCGGATAAAATCCAGCTCAACTGCATAGAAAAGGCTGTTTTGCGAGTCACAAAGAAGTACCGTCTCGACCTCGATGACGTAAAAATTCCAAAAACCAACGCAATATTTTTGGAATCACATTCGACAGCCGGCTGCACGTCTTCACTTCGCATACGAGATAAATTTCCCCCAAAGTACAGAGCAGCAACAAAATCCTCAAAACGTTAATCGGCAGCAAAAAGAAGAGCAAAGGCAAAGAAATGTTGCTCGCAACATATAAGACAACTGGCTGACCGGCCAGTCGCAAACTATGCTGTTTTGATTTGGTCACCGTGAACGCAAGACGCAGTTGAGCAAGTTTCAAGAGTGTCAGAACCCTCAACAGGGAACCTCCTCATATCACCGGCACATCACTTGCTCATATGAGAAGTTCGCAAAGTAATTCTGGCACAATTAAGATCTGGATAGTTACATTGGACATACCCAACGTATGACCAGCATGCAATGAGAACCCTAACGACACTAATATCCTCTTTGCATGCCTCTAAAACCCACCCATCTGACTCTACTTTTTATACTTGTTCAAAATATCAACTGCAGCGTTGGCTATGCCACAAATCATCCATATTACTCTCTTCAAAATTTAGAAAGAGATAATCCCTGAGCATGACACGGTAACGATTGGCTTTGGTGATTACGACAGCTCCTGCTTTTTTCGAAAAAAAAAAAAAAAAATATAATGGAATATGGAATAATGTCGTTTGTTGATTTTTGGAAACAAATTTCCATTGTGATGTCATCATATCTGCTTTGCTAAAATGAAAGACGATAAAAAGGACGTTAAAGAGGATTGTATGAATTTAAGGGTATCCAAGTTTGAGGAAATGAAATGAATGCCAAAAAACCTAATTTTTTAAAAATGTCACCCTGGTTGATCCCTTTACAAAATATGGCTCTGAAGAAAAATCTCTGAAATTTTCAGAGGGATAAATGCATAACTTCATTTTCTGTGAACTCCCTGAAAAAGGTGCGTCCGAGTCTGACGCAAAAACTTGTTTTTTAACTAGTACCAAAAACTAGAATTTGGACGAACGAAAATAAAAAAAGTTATACGATTTTGTAAATTTTGCTCACCATTTCTTCATTTAAATTGTTAAAAAATAATAAAATTAAAATAACAATTGAAAGTAAATTCTGAGCAAAATTTCATCAAGATCGGTTGAGTAGTTTCCGAGAGCTTTTAACAAGACAGTTTCGAGAAAGGCGCGTTAAAGTTTAAAGCGTTGAGCCTAACTGCCCTTGAGAACGCGCCTTCCCAATGTTGTAACTCCGAAACTGTTATTCAGATCGACTTGAAAATTTGAGAATAAGATTCTCGAGATGTTGTAGAAATAAATAAGGTAATAAAAAATAAATTTTTCTGAAGCTTTGGAAGCCATGTTTGGGGTTAACAGGACTAATAATTGAGATTTAAATTCATATCATCAAAAATAATAAAATATTTGTTTTCTTTTTCAATTTCAATCTTTGCAGTCGAACGAGAAAGAGATCACAGAGGAGAATAAGGAGAAAGAGGAAACAAAGTAAATATCGATATCGATAACGATAGCTTAGGACAACTGTAAAGGACATGCATTTAAAATATAAAAGAAAAATAACAAAATAATAATCATACACAAACACACAAAAAAGTATAATACAATAAATTTGAAAAAAAAACCTTTTTTATATATATTACGAATAGCATAAAATTATATAAAGAAAATTATACATAATGTATAAGACATTGCAAATTAGTTAAAAGCGAAATAACATCTGACGATGATGATGGATGATTCCAACTGATTTTATGTTTATTTTATATTTCACCTTTTCATTTAACTTTTTTCATCATTTTTGTTGTACAATTTTATTGTATCGTTTGTTTCTTCCAAAATGAAAAAAAAGATGAGACGAAATGAAAGAAAAAGCGCAGAAATGCAGCAATGTATTAAGCCTAAATGTAATTAAGTTTATTTTATTTTATTTTTTCCTTATTATTAATATAAACATTTTTATATATGTATATATACATACATATATATTACATACATACATTTATAAATATAATTTTTTGTGTGCAAATATAAAATATATAATGAAAAAAGAGAAAAAAATGTATCGTATGATGAACATTGTGTTTTGAATGTTGACTAAAACAAAAACAAAACAAAACAAAAAAAAAACATAAAAAGATTAAGATGAAACGCTGCTACAAGAGAGAGAGGTATAAGTTCTTCTTTTCAGAATCAAAGTGGAAAAAAAAACAAAAATCAATATGAAAAACCAAAACACTAAATAATATTTAAAAATATAAATAAAATTAATTAAAAAAAAAACAAATACTCAAAATTCGAAATGCAACAAAACATTAAAAAACGTAGTTACATACAAACATAAAAAGTAAGTGCTACATACATACATACACACTCATCCAATGTGTCATAATACATACTTACAGAACAATTCAAAACAAAAATCAAACAAGCAAATGGAGTATCAAACATGAAAAAAAAGAAAACTTCTAAAAACTTTAAACACACCGGCATAATACATTCATTCATACATACATACATATATATATATATATATAAATCAACACACTAACACTCACTCACTCACTCACCCACAGCAATGCATACATATGTATGTTTAATGCAACAGCAAGCAAAAACAATACCATACACACGCACACACATACACATATATACACACATAAATATATAATGCAAATTGTTAGCACTATTGGCTTTGTTTTTTATTTCCTTGGCTCATCGTATTTATTTCAATACGCATATACATACATAAATTACATAAAATGCAAAACTAAATCATACGCATATATAATGCATATATACATACATACATATGTATATATAGGCATATGTATATTTCATAAACACCCACATATATATATATATATATTATTAAATATATATATATATATTTAACATCAACCAGTTTGAGTATAAATTGAAGAGTACACCGACAACAACAAAAACAACAACAACAACAAAATATTAAATTTAATAATAATGAAATGGTAATAAATAAATAAATGAATAAAATGTGAACAAGAATAAGAACACAAGTATTTTTCATCCACATGGCGGTAAAATACATATGTAATTGTAGAGTATTCAAGTATTTTTATGGATTATGTATTAAAGGTTATGTTATAAGTTTTTACCAACATTATTTCTATTGTAGCTCAGTGTTTTATATAATAAACATATATAACATAAATCTTATTTAATAAATATGCTTCTTAATCAAAAAAAAAATAAATAAAAATTGTTTGTGTATTTTAATTTTGAAAATATGGAATAGCTAAGTAAGTATATCCATAAAATTGGACTTCATCTTTACTGACGTACACACAGCTTACGAGATTATAGCCGAGTTAACAGCATTGCGCTATTCATTTTTTCTTTTCGCTGTTTGGCGCCAATCGGAAATACCAAGTATAGTCAGGTCCTTCTCTACCTTCTCAGGTCTTTCTTCTTCCTCTTCCTCTGCTTCAATATCCATCTGGACCACATTACCTAGCCAGCGCAGCCGCTGTTTCTTGATACGCTTATATATTGGGTGAGTGCATAAGTTCGTGCCCGATTCCTCTGGATGCCGTTCGAATCGTTTGAGAGTGGCGCTCGTGAAAGAAATATATACATATTATATTATATATCGTTGGAAAGCTGACAGTCCGAACTGTAAATCCCCCATATTCACCCGACATTGCACCTTCTGATTATCATTTGTTTCGATCGCTGCAGAACAATTTGAATGGAAAAAAATTTCAAAATGTGGAAGACGTCAAAAGCCACCTTGACACCTTTTTCAACGAGAAACCGCGCAATTTCTATGAATCAGGGATCCGTAAATTGGTTGAACGTTGGGAGTGGGTTGCCGAACATGATAGCGAATACATAATTGATTAATAAAAGCGCTTTCTTCAAAAAAGTTCAATTTTAGTTTGCACTTGAAATCGGGCACGAACTTATGCACTCATCCAATATATATATAATTGTAACCGCTGAAGCGATTTTCGACCGAGCTGCAATTTGTGGTTTTGTATCTGGATGTTTTCCAACAAATGGAGGGACCTACAGTTTATACTAAACCGCCTCCGAACGGTTGATGGTTTTTTACGAGGAGCNCGAGTATGTTGCCACAACACTTCTTGCATATGAAAATACAATTTTGGCGGGCGTAAAAAGAAACTGGGCGCGACTTCCATTCATGCAAAATAAACGTGAATGAATAAAAATGTGTATGTACATTGTATATACGTAATATGCACGCACATGTACGGGACCTACAGTTTATACTAAACCGCCTCCGAACGGTTGATGGTTTTTTACGAGGAGCCTTCATTTCATGTCAGAAATACACTCGAAGGCGTTGACATTTCTTGACTAGGGCGAAAGTAATTACAAAATTTAGCTTAATTTTTTATTTAAATTCATTTCCTATAACTTTTTGTATGTTAGAACGATACCAGGACCTGAACCCGAGCCTTCCTTTTGAAGGTAGTACGCAGTGCTAACCACTCGGCTATTGCGTTGCCCCTGAAAATCATTGCCATACGTCAGCAGCTTAACGGTCTAATAAAAGATTTCACTTCCTCTATTCAGCTCTGCAGCTCGCATTATTTTACCGGCATTAAGTTAAAACCACACAATAAAGAGTCGGCACATCTGAAACCATCGGGGAGAAGAGGTTCTTCTCGATTAAGGCGGAGCTTTTGATGCTGCTTAACCTCAGTCGTTTAAGTTAAGTAGAATACAAAATTAAGATGTGTCAGATACCTAAAAACGATGAAATGGTGGGGCGTCAGTCCGTTTCTCAAGAGCCTTTCGTAAAATATGGCATATGTGGAATATCAGATGAAAGATAGATATAGCTAGGCCGGAAGCCATACTGAGAGATACAGTCCGTAGACGGCGGAGTTTAGTTATTGCAATAGTACAAACTCGATAGAACCTTACGATATTGGGAAAGCTGACGCAAACACTTTGTCAGTTCTTCTACGACATATTTGATTAGCTGGGCCGGTAAACCATTGGCTCTCACAGCTTTGTATTTTTGATCTTCATACTTCGTGATCGACGGCATCATTATATATCCACGAATTGCGCCGCGCTTAACACAAGATCGAATATTTAAGAAATTCGTCAAAGAGAACTCCATCATAAGAACTGAAGTCCCACCAAGAATAGCTGTATTAGATCTAAAAATGGGCCTATTTTACACATAATGGACCTTTCATTTTTACCCACTGCGTGGACTTAATATATTAATACAATATTAGTCGAGTATCCAATGTTGGATTCCAGCCGTACCTACTATATTCAGGAAATTATCCAGGGTTACCTGTAATGTTTATCGATGAATAATGAATGCAATCGGGGTTTCAACTATACATTCTCAACAAAAGCCCAAAGAGAAACAGGTGGGAATATGCAGCAGTTCTGGATCCTATATTCGCAGCCATCTTCCCGACTACTGTAGCGTATTCCATGCGAAACAGTCAGGCTACTATTAAGGCTCTCCAATGTAGTCATACCACCTCAAAGGTGATAATAAAATGCAGAGAGATCTTTAATAAACTCTCGACTGTATGCAAAACATACGTAGCTTGGATCCAGTTCATACCGACCACCCAGGNAAACAGGTGGGAATATGCAGCAGCTCTGAATCATATATTCGTCGCCATCTTCCCGACCACTGCAGCGTATACCATGCGAAACAGTCAGGCTAATATTAAGGCTCTCCAATGTAGTCACACCACCTCAAAGGTGATAATAAAATGCAGAGAGATCTTTAATAAACTCTCGACTGTATGCAAAACATACGTAGCTTGGATCCAGTTCATACCGACCACCCAGGGAACTTCCTAGGCGACGAACTGGAGAGGATCAGTTTTAACCATAGTAAACTCTGCACATGACGTGGGCATACTGCTTTCCTAGGCAAAGTATGCTAAGACTAGCCTTCACCAGAAGGGCCAACAGCAGAAAGCAAAGTTACCTGTTGACCTAAATGGGATTAGAACCCCGAAAGGGTGACATTCCTTTGGCCGGATACAACCCTTGTCGACTCTGGTAGGTAGAAGCGGCTGTCTTGAGATTTATCAGAAGGCAAAATGAAACCACGTGCAAAGTAACAAGACGAATCTCGCCATTAATTGAAATAAACAAAACTAAATCTCTACAACTTCCAAACCGGACCACCGCATAATAAATAGCGTAATATCTGAGCACTGTCTAAGGGGGACTCATGGAAGAAAGATGGGCTGCTTCTCAAAAGACTTCAGCCACAGTTGTATAGACAAAGATGAAGAGGAATCTGTGGAACTCCACCTCTGCCACTGCGGTCTGTTAGAGTTTTCTAGGAAATTTCTTCACTTACTGAATTGCAGTGCTTGCATCAGTAGGCGTCGTTAATCTCCTGACACACTGAGTGTGTATTCTCTTAAGCAGGAAGTGAAGTCAAACGGTTTGAAAAGTGTATAAATCTTAATGGGGAATATTTTGAAAAAGGTCAATAAAGCCATTTTCGATGATGAATAGTTGTTTTTGTTCTCTAATCTTGAAATATAGAGGGTAACTAATGATGATCTTTTATTTTTTCTCCAAAATGTGAAAAAAAAGATTTCCAAGAGTACAATATTTCGATAAAGACAAATATTTTTTATATTTATTGCAAAAAAACACAATTTTTGTTTATTTAAAGGTATTTTTCCTAACTACATGCCATCTGGATTCATATACTAACCTACAAGTATATATATATAATTATGTTACCCGAGTATGTTTTAATATACAGTGTGACTGTTAATATGGTACGACTTATGTGTACGTGATACGGAAGTACTTATACATACATATATGTACGAGTATGTTGCCACAACACTTCTTGCATATGAAAATACAATTTTGGCGGGCGTAAAAAGAAACTGGGCGCGACTTCCATTCATGCAAAATAAACATGAATGAATAAAAATGTGTATGTACATTGTATATACGTAATATGCACGCACATGTACAACTGTATGTATGTTAGTCGAAGGTATTTAGTTGGAGCCTAAAAATTAACGTTAGTACATATATTTACATATTTCTATAGATATATATATATATATTATGCAGATATAACGGACAAACATACATATATGTATGTATATTTCTGAACGCTGCATATTCAAAATATTATATCTCTGTTGATGACAAAACACTTCATGAAGAACAAAAGACTTAAGCAACAAACTGGATTTAGGAAATTTCTATAATAAAATTCCGTAACTGGATTATCTCACAAAAAAAACAGCATAAAATAATGAAAAACTTTCCATAAAACATCGACTTGAACACAGAGTCATGAACTAGAGTTCTGAACCATCTAATACCAAAAATTGTGAAAACGAAGCGTCAGAGCATTTGGGAGCTGTAAGTGAAATTTTAACCTCGTTTTCCAAGTCGGTGACCAACGGGTGAACCGATTAGTCTCAAATGCTTACACGAGCTACTGAACAATATTTTTCATTTTTTATTTATTTTTTATATTTACTTAATCGAAACCTTTCCAATTCAAGACCAAATTTATGGAGAAAAATTTAAACTTTTTTTTTGAGAAACCGCCATTTTGTCAAAAAAAAAAATGTTGGCTTATTACTTCGATTAATCACAAGATTACACATTACTTTAACGAAATCCCTATAATTTTTCATTTCAGATGATTCACTTCAGAAATATATACAATGATCACCGCAAAACGTCTTTTTTGGAAGGGGTCGCTGGAGATCTTCAGAAACTGTAATTTTTATACATCAAAAACTGCCAGCTGCTCTTCGAAGGTGTACAAATGTTAAAAAAAAATATATAAAGCCAAAGTTTCCTCGTGAAAAATTAAAAAAAAAACCCCCTAACTAGATGCAACCCCTTAATTTTGCAGTGTTAGATGGATACCAGCAAAGAGAAAATTCGCTGTATCGATCCATTTCAGCAACGTCAAACAAAAACGAGCGTAATCAAAGAGCAGTGAGATGACACAAACGGTTACCAAGACAGAATTAACAACCAGGAATATTTTATTGTATGTTTTGGTGGAGTTGGCAAGCGATCATCCATTATAAGCTGCTCTCATGTGCTCAAACTCTCAATTCATCCCTCCGAAGGAAGCAATAATCCAAAAGCACCCAGCTTTTGTCAACAGGATGGGAATTGTATTGCATCAGGACAACGTCAGATCACATACATCGATAGTGACTCGCCAGAAGCTCCAAGAGCTTGGTTCGTAGGCTCTTACTCAGCCACTTTACCGTTCGAACCTCGGATCTAGTGGTTACCATCTGCTTCTGTCTATGATGAGTGATTTGGTTGGTGAAGACCTCAAGAGAAGTCTGTGAAAATCGAGTTTTGGCTAAAACGGACCAGGGTTTCTATGAGAGTGGCATAGTAACATTACCTTCAAAATGATAAAAAGTTATGAAACAAAACAAGAAAAATTAAAAAAAAGCCGAAAAATCAAAACTTGAAAAAAAAAATTCAAATTTTTGCCAAAATTAAGGATTGCTTTTTCCTTTACCTAATATTTAAAGATTTAAGCAATAATTCCAATTTGAAAGATATTAACGTCTTAAAATTTATGAATTTAGTGATTATGTATTTGGAAAAACTTTAAACTTAGGTAAGTACCTAGCGAAATTGTGCGCTGGGTTTGGGACCCGCCACATAGAAATCAGCTCTAATGTAAAATGAATCGACCACAGCCAAGGCATTACCATAGCTATTTTCATAGTCTGGTTTCTTTTTCTTTACTCGCGTAGACACCGCTTACGCGCATATAGCTGAGTTAACAACTTTACGCCATTCATTTCTTCTTTTCGCTCTTTGGAAGTACCAAGCACAATCAGGTCCTTCTCTACCTGGTCTTTCAAACGTAGTGGAGGTCTTCCTCTTCGTCTGCTTTCACCGGCGGGTATTGCATCCATAACCTTCAAAGTTAGAGTATTCTGATCCATTCGGACCATATGACTTAGCCAGCGTAACCGCATCTTCATATACGATGGTGAAAAGATGGGTTCGTATATTGCAACCAGGTAGAGAGACCGGTGAAAATGAGCCCCAACAGTTGATGAAACTTGGATTCGTCAGTATGATCCGGAATTTAAACATAAGTCGATGCATTGGATTAAAAACAGGGGAAATGTCGCCAAAAAAAATTGAAAGTGGAAAAGACGGTTTCGAATATTATGGCTACCATTTTCTGGGATAGCGAGGGAATATTATTAATTGATTACTTGTCAAAGGATACTACAATGAACGCCCAGCATTACGCTAATTTATTGAATCAGGCAGTCATAACGAAGAGACGTGACGAGTTAGAGCGCGGAGTGCTGTTCTTCAAGGCAATGTACCCGTTTACATCGTTCGGGTGGCAAGAAATGCCTTAAAAGCTATTGGATTTACAGAAACCATCCATCCTACAATCCGGACCGAACTCCAAGTGGCTTTTTTCTTTTTTTTTTATAAAATTAAAAAAATAGTTACGGGGACAAAGATTTTCAGACGATAGTGAGATGAAAGCGGTCATAGCAAATAGTTTTAAAGAGAAATCTAAAGAATATTGTTTTCAGTGGTATAAAGGCAATGTACTCACCATGTGAAAAGTGTATTTCACTAGAGAGAAACTCAATTAAAATTAGAAAACATAAAACTAGACATTTGTTTCATTAAGAGGTAAAGCCACTCACAGGATACCTTTTGGGCTCTAGAAATGATATACAATTGGTTCTAAAGTAAAAAAAAAATTTCAAATTTACTACACCCCCTCAGAGCGTGCGCCGAGCATAGTTAAAACTTTAAACGCATTTTTCATAAAATCACATTTTTTAAACTGGAAGGACAGATTATTCGGACCTTATTTCATCGATTTATCTAAAATTTTGATAGTAGCCTCTCAAATAAATTAGTGCGTATTTTTTAGTCAAAAATCAATCTTTTAAAAAAAAGTTTGCCGCTTTAAAAAAAAAAATAGTTAACAAATAAATCCGTAGATACGAGGTGTGTTCAAAAAATATCACGAATTTTGTGTGTTTTTTCAAAAATTATTTATTTATTCATGAATATCTATTTTGTCCCCTTCAAAGTAATCCCCATAAGATATTATACACTTCTGTTAATTTCGTTTTTCACATAAAATTTGATACAAGTTCTTTAAATCTTTTTTTTGAAGAGGTAAAAATCGAAGACCAACCAAAACACGTGCAAGCAAAGCAGCTGTCAACAATTAAGTGAACATTCAAAATGGCCGAGCTTGTCGGCATAAGTGACAGACATAAGTACCAACATAACATCACAAAAAAATCGAAATTCGATTATACGTAACCCACGAAAATTCAAAATTCGCGATACTTTTTGAACGCACCTCGTACTAACCAAGACCTTAATTTGTAGATCATAACACTTTTTGCTATTCTGTTTTAGGTCTCATACTTTGGAAGAAGACCGTGGCTGCCTTTCAAAAAAAAACATGGATTAAAAAATGGACTTATCATCACCATTTTGTAACAAAATAATAATTAAAGAATGTCTTTTTATACTTCACAATATGTTCCAAGAAATTCCATATTCCTATAATAAATTTTTAAAAATGAAAAAAATCAGTCTATTTTTCATCATACATCATTACCCCTTAAGTACTTCAGACCGCGAACTTATTTATCAGCCGTTCCTCGCAGGTGGTCTGTTTAATGGGCCTATTTGGGACGACCGAAGTGTCTCGATACTCGCAATTAGGCAAATACTTTTACTCGCCCACCAAACTTGTTACTAAAATAATAATAACATAATAATATATTTGCAGACATGTAAAAATACATTTTCACTTCAAATGAATATGGTGTACCCTTGCGTGAGTCGAACCATGTCCTTAGCCACAATTTTACTTATTAGGAATATAACTGCATATTTTAATATAAATGACAGTGAGCCTTGCCAATAATATGAATATCGATTGATTTCATTTTTCTGTATGTATGTATGTACTCGTACAAATAGCGTATCTATAAAAATGAAAATAACAATTATATGTACGTGTATGTATAAATTCATCAATATATGTGCATATGTACATATGTATGTAGGCCTGTATGCCTACAAATAGTGTGAAAATATGTTGTTGACTCTTTGACATTTGCATCACTTTTACCAATCACACTTGCAATTTGGCGGGTCGCATTTCTTTTTTTTTTTTCTTTGTCAGCGCAAACTATGCGAATGTGAAAGTGACTTAAGCAGACTTAGTATAACTAACTAGATGTGTATACATACATATAAAAGTACATGTTAATATAACTCCATCCGTACTTAGATACCATTGTGGTGTTGCATGAGAACCAAATAGATATCAGAATTGTAAATGAAATAGTTTATCATATATTACAATACTAGGTATTTATAACTTATTGAATTGGCGTTTAACACGAATTCATTTTTACCGCTAAGTTCGATTTGCATTGCTTTTGCGCGACCTCCAAGTGGCCTATATTTTTCGCAAATACACACATACATACATTTGAAATATACCGAATGATTTAGACTTATTTACCAGCTGACTTACATACAGGCAACAATATTTATTATTCATATACATATATAGATATATATATATATATATATACTGGTATCTACATATCTCTCATTGGCGCCTGTCATACTCCACCAAGCAAATGTGGTAAAAAAAAATGTAAAAAATATTTAGTAGTGATCTGCTGGTGTTAAAGTGCGGTAACAATAACGGTAGTTGTCAAAACGTGTAATAGAAAAATGTCCAATCAGCTTTTCTTTTTAAGTTTAGCTGATATCTTTTCCGTCTATCCGAGTATTTTCAAAGAATTGGTCGCGACGCGTGAAAATCAAACACTCATCTATTTACCAAGTGACGCCGATTGGCAGGAGCGTATGTACTACCGCCTCTTGGAGGTTCAAAAGCGTGTTAATGAGACCATCAATAGTGGAGTGTAAGTAAAAAAAAAAAAGCACACTATGGAGAAACTAAGTTCGGGGGAGACAGATCATAAGGTCCCCCAATTTATCGCTGAAAATTTGTGTTTTTAGGAATAAAGCTCAGGCTTCTAGATTAGGTTGTAGTACCAGATTCACCAAGCCATCTGGCTATATCCAGATCCAAAATCACTCAACTAAATCTCGATCATGCTGGAATTGACGGAAGATATGTATCCAGCACATTTAGGTGCGAACGTTCCGAGAACCTAACATCGACTCAGATAACTATCTTATCGCAGCGAAGAACACCCGTCACATAACACAATACAGGAAAAATTACACGTCGAAAAGCGGCAATAACAACAAATAGCCAAGTAGTTTCTACTCCACTTATACTCCTTCTCTTTGCAAGAACTCATCTATAGCTCGGTACAAGGGAGCTGTGGTTCAGCATTTAAAGCTTCCTACACCCAGGTTCACGGTTTACTGCAACACGAACAGTGTGGGAAAGATACCAAGAATGAAAGATAGAAGCGGGACGCATTTATACAGAGAAGAATGGAAAATTTTACGAAAAAATCATAAAATATCAAAAGGTTTCAAACCCGGAGACGAAAAGTGGTATCGAGAAAATGAAGTTCAAAGTATACTAAGTTTATAGAGACTGAAGCTCAGAGTATATTGTGCTTATAGAGGGGTCACTTCCCAACGGAAGTAAAAATGACTATGGTAAAGCCCTTCCATAGCTCGACTATGATGAAGATTGATTGCCCGTTTAACGGATAAAAGTACGACGAGAGCTTCAGGCTTACCGGCTGAAACTAAATGCAAAATATGGTCAGCCTAAAGCATTGCCGATGATGGGAAGTGTGTTTGGACATAGCTTGGGCTGAACTATATCAATGTCATCGTATATACGTGTATCATATTCGCCATGTCCTATGTGCAAATCTCTCGAAAGAAAGGGCTTCACATCATTTCGCAGAGAACTTGAAATTAACGAAGACGGGGCGGGATATTCATAGACCAGAAAGCAATGGTATATGTGCCAGGCCTGAAACCACTCTAATAAAGTACACTTTATACGCGATATTGAGGAAGCCTATGCTATGATAATTGTACCAGATTGTGGGGAACTCCTTATATTAACATATATAAAAAGCTGTCTATGTTCCAAGTATCAAGAAAATCAAACCCTAAATACGATGATTTTGAATAGATCGGTCCCTGATCTCAGGCAAAAAGTAATTTTTACCTATTATCTACCAAATATTAGACAAAACGAATCAGAAAACCTAATTTTTCTTAAGGCCTATGTATATATGTAAAACTACAAGCAAATCGAGTCAGGATCTCGCCTATATTCCTTATATCTATTAAGGCAAAGAGCTCTTCTAAGCCTTTGTTTTCCAAATAAATTCGTTTATTCTCGAATACAACCAGTCCAGGTTCACTTTCCATCGGATCACGTCATTAGCAGATATTTTAGACCGCGACTTGATCCGTCACTTATTCGGAATAAAGCCTTTTATATAGATGATTTTGAGACCTGTGGTTTCCAGAACAAATAAAATCCATATAACTTAATGTTATGTCTCCGCCAATTTCTATAGCGATTAGAGCCGGTGATAGACATATCGCGCCGATTTTTCTCTTCCAAGGCGTCAAACGCCTCGGGATCAACTGTGTACACAAGCGCTGCTAGGTAATGCGCTCACCAAAATATTTCTTTCAAATAAATTATTTTTATTCGTTGGCTGTATGGCGTATAGCGCCGCCTTGTTGAAACCAAATGTCGTTCACATCAACCTCATCCAATTCAGGCACGTAATAGTCATTAATAATGGCTCTATAGGGCTCCCCATTGACTGTTACCTTGTTGCCGGCTCAACTTTTGAAGAAATATAGAGCAATAAGTCTATCTGCATACCAAATCACACGTCTTAGAAACATCCTTTATATAGATAATAGAAGGCTCCTTTGAACTTTCTGGACGAATGGACTTCGTTGTCGTCACTTTCACACTTTTCACGCATTTTGATAACCTGTGATATTATTTCACGAATTGCTCTAATATTAGAAGACTCAACCGAAACATCCGAATACAAAATTTATTATTAGCGCTTTTTAATTATTTATTATTATGTTTATTTCAGTGAAGTTGACTATGTTATAGTGCCAAGAGAAACACACAACTTCAACCACTTGACCAGCGTACTCAGCTTTTCACCCACTATTTCACCAACTGTCTCACCAAATGGTTTGTATCCAAATTTAAAAAAGAAATGCCCACAAATTCGCGGCAAATCATTGAAGGACAAGAGTAAATTTTGGAATTTAAAAACAATTGCGCTGGCAGCAAATCTACTCGCGAAACCACCAAAGAAAGTCGATTTTGAAAATGAACACGAAATGCGTAAGGTGTATTCACTGATATATGATGTCTTTAGATGTAAGTATAATTTTGAGAAATATTTCAATTTCAATTAAAATTTCATAATATTCTGCAGTCAAAGTCGTGCTTTCGAATTCTCTAAACGATATTGAATTTTATAAGCGCTTTCCAGAGGTAATTTTGCAAAGAGTTGTTGGTATCCAAAAAAAAAAAAAAGGTTAAAAGTATATACATATATTTCGATCTGTAATTTTAGCATAAAGAAGATGAGAATCGCATTTGGTTAATGTTTTACGAATTACTTGGACGTAACTTCAAGCAGCGCTACTCCGAAGAAATCGATCTGCAATATAAACTATTTCGAGAATCAGAAGTTGAAGGTAACTGCATATATACAATACCAATGAGGGATTTATGTTCGCAAAATTCGAGATAAGGGGTGGAAATAAAAATGAAAACCAAGCAAGACCGATTTTCAGATCTTTCTTTCAAATATTTTCGCTTTACCTTCAAAATATGCCAAAACAGTCTCCTTGACTTTGTCATCGGTGATCAAGTTTTTACCCATAAGCTATTTTTTTAATTTGGAAACAGGCAATACTCACTCGAGGTCAGGTAGAGTGATTGATTCAAAATATCAAAGACCGCTTTAACGAAGGCAGGTAAGGCTACATGACAGTTGGGCGCGGTTGAGGTGCAATAGCAGCATACCTTTGATTAATTTTCTCCGGCTTTTCTAAATGGCTTCCTTTAGTCACTCTAATATTGAGCGTACAGAAACATCTTGATCTTTATAATCGATCAATAAAATTATTCATGAATCACAAAAGACCGTTGTCATGAGTTTCCCAGCTAACTGTGACATCCTAAACTTCGTGGTAGGTGCTGTACCCTTTTTATGTTCACTGCATGAATTTTTGTTTTGACTCATGTTCATTATAATGAACACAAGTTTAGTCTTCAGTAAAAATTCAACCATCCTTCCATTCATTAATGATCTGCATTAGAGAGTTCCGAAAATGTGCGTGAACACTCTACGCGCTGTTATTTTTGCGAAGAAGTGAGAATTCTCGTCATGCTTCTTGCGCTGACCTCAGTCATGGCAAGCTGATCGTGCAGGATTTAAAATAATAGTTATATCGGATACACCCACCCATTCTGCGAGTGGATTCCGCTTTTGGTTGAGTATTGAGAAAATTTTTTACATATTTTTGGAAAAGCTCTGACGTGTTTCGATGCTTCTCCCGACCTCGGGTCGTCTTTAACAGATTCTCTTGCTTATTTAAATATGCTGAGAAGTGTCTTTAAGCCAATGACCTCAGATTATTTATGGTCGCAATGGCAAAATATTTGATTTTTTTCATATTTCACTTTTTACTCCTGATTATTGTTTGTTGCTTGGTTGAGGGCAGCTCAACATAAATAATGAAACCTCATATTTGTACTAATCATGAGTCACTGAACACGTTACGATCCTAATGAGCCTAATCACCACCCTACAACCCTCTTATTCCGCGAACATAAGAACGCTCCCTCGTATGTATGCGTGCCCCCTGCGGGTTAGGGGCTCAAGAATTTACACGCGGTAAGGCATGCCTGTCGTAAGTGGCGACTAAAATCCAATAGTTCCCGCGACAGTCGGGTTTTGATACCGGAACTACCCGGATTTTTATCCGTCCAAGGACTGTCACTCCCTCATCATTCCCCAAAAGTACAATACTTTGGGGAATAATTTTGCGGTTACAATAACAAAAACAATAACAACCCCTATAGAGTTTCGACTTTTTGCTGAATCATATTCTCTTTCTTCAAAAAAACAGAGATTGCTGAACATTTGTGGGAATTCCGTAAAGCTTTGGCAGCGTCCATATCACGTATGCGTATAAAGTTCAATGCACTCAGTCTTTCCAAATTATTGCCGATACATCTGCAAAATGAAAAAGTCGCCAATGCAGCATCGAATACGATGGTAACTGGTTGGATAAATCCATTTTTATTACGGTAAGTTGTATGTATGTTGAAAAAATATGAAATATCCTAATCAGATGTTCCGATGAGTCGGAGATGTAAATTTTTATATTAGCCTTACTATGTGGAATGCCTTCAATACATGTTTCTTATAAAGTCCCGCTTTATTCTTATTAATTTCACCACCGAAAAGTAAGCAATACAACGTTCACTGTTTATCGATTATAATTTAGTAAGTTAAAAACAAACGGAGTTGGAGGTTTTTCTCTGTTTCCAGCAGCGAGTCATCATCGCCGAGCTCCTCCTCCAATTTGTGGTATACATCTTGATGCTTTCCCTTCAAATGAAGAGATCTAAAGGTTATTCTTGAGCCGACTCCGAACACCGCAGGGATTTTTATGAAAAGCTTTTATTTCATGTCAGAAATATACTCAGACGACTTGACATTCCTTTCCGAGTGATGACAGCAATTTGAAAAATTAAGTTTCTCTACCAGCGAGTACAACACTGAAAACTTTCAGCGATGTAGTGACTCCATCCATTCGGATGTCATGACATAACCCACGTAGCAGTTGTCTATTTATTCTATGAACAAAACCCATTTTCTGAAGAAATCGATATATAAGCTATATTTTAAAATTGTCCGAATTCTATTATGCTCTTGGATGCTTCTTCCACGATTTTATGAACCAGAATCTCACATCTTAAAACTCCAACGTATATATGTTATAATGGTCCGATCTGGCCCGAGCCAACTATGATCGTTTAGACCTTTGTGTAATGATTTTCATACACATTTCCCCAACATTGATTCCACTGACTCGCTTTTCTGTATCAAACCCTGCTTCCTGAGTGCTTGAAATAATTAAGTAAATTCCTTCTTCTTTTTGCCTATGTAATTTTATAGCAGCTCTGATGAACAAATCTGTAGCAACAAGTGTAACCGCGACCATCCGCCTTGGGTTTCGGCTTCAAGGCAGTCCGGACTGTCACTGGTTTTTTCGGTCACCGGTCTGTTGGATTTTTTGATTACCTCGCAGACGCATCCGTCGACTGGTTGGGCGGTAGGTGGGCTACGCTGGGTTCGTCGTTAAAAAGAAAGAAAATCAGTTCATCTGTGTAGCAAGGATTTAGCAAAATCAACTCAGCTCGTCATTCTGATCAGATCGACATTAATTTTAATGGGTCTATCTATTCTCCTTCTGGTATTTACATACAATACGTCGCACCAAATAATATTGTGAATTAACTTAAACCCATTCGGGGAGAGTGAAGCCTAAATTTTCGGATAGATTCTTTGTCTACCCTGGCGTTGATGGTGTCTAGCAGCAATATTGATTTCATAGACCATATGTCGTACCACAAATCCCACAACAAACTAGCACTGTAATAAAGCTGATGAGACCTATTTTCTTCCCTCCTAGTCCATCCTACGCATTTTCTGGATGGTGGTGATGTCAGACTTACTAATTGAGGGAGCGGTCCAATTGGAAGTCCTCATCCATGACTGTTGGTTTTTTTCATTTGACTCTTACTTTATGTGGCAGGGTCCAAACTCATCGGACAACTTCGCCAAGTGCATGAGTTAAATTTTCTTATTGCGGTCGCCTCTCGGCAGTCAACCCCTCCGAGTGTATTTCTGACATGAAATAAAGGCTCCTCGTAAAAAACCATCAACCGTTCGGAGGCGGCTTAGTATAAACTGCAGGTCCCTCCATTTGTTGGGAAAACATTCAGATACAAAACCACAAATTGGAGGAGGAGCTCGGACGAAAATCGCTTCAGCGGTTACAAAGCGCCAATTATATATATATATATATATATAATATCCATAAGTTGCCCAAAAAATATATTTGGATGATAAGGCCTCAAGCTCATTATAAAAGAACATTCATGAGTTATCACAGAGATTACCTCATGGGCTTATGTTTAAACATTAAATACTGGTATGGTAATGCAAAATTACAAAAACAATTCCCCACTTACGAGTACCTACGTATATACATATCATATGATATCTTAAAATATTTTCGATTTTCTATTCTATTTGCTATGAATACATACACGTATGAAGGCATGTATGTATGTATGTATGTATGTATGTATGTATGTATGTATGTTTAAATGCCTACCATATTTACTTTCTTTTCTTCCCTTTTTCAGTGATAAAACATCAGCGGATAAATTTCTACTGGAATACGGCTATATACTGCAGGAAAATGATAACGAACACGTTTTGGATACAAATCATTATCGTTGGGACAATGTTTGTCCACTGTTTATATCCTGTGTGCCGCAAGATAAGGGTGAATTTACTAAATCGAAACTCGTCACGCAACACTATTTCATCATTCAGGTAATCGGGTCAAAGTATTGTATTTGCCTATAAAATATACGAATATAAAATACGAGTATACGAGTACCAGCATAACGCCACAAAAAAATCGAAATTCGATTATACGTAACCCGCGAAAATTCAAAATTCGCAATACTTTTTGAACACACCTCGTATATGTACTCATGATTTTAATTAACCTAAAAAATATTACAACTGTTGGCCTAGAGTTATTACAAAAAAAAGGGTTTGTCACTATGCACGATAGCCGGCTTGGCTTTACTGCGACTATCTCACACGCAGTTCCATATTACTGTTTCCAAAATATAACAGCGGAAATACATTAAATGCCACAGAAGAGGTCTCGGACCCACTGATTGTAATGCGATATGATCTTAACCTAATGAGGCGTTTGAATAGAGTTATTGATACTAGTGGCGTTATTGACGAGAAAAGTCAAGAAGCTTTGCGGCAGCAATAGCCGAGTCGTTAGCATTGCATACTAACATTCGGAAGGTCAAACTGTAGTTCACTCCATTTTTTGGAAAAACTTAAAAGCTCACAAAGCAAATTGGAGTAGGAGGAGCTTGACCGAAAATCGCTTCAACGGTTACAAAGCGACAAAGTCGATCAACCATAACCCTCTAGTGGATATTTCGTTTTTATATGCTAAATTTTCCGACTTTTATTGCGAAGATACCTTCTTTGCCCACGATACAAACGATAAGCACAATCTTCACATCGTTTCGGAGGCAATGCTAATAAGTAAGCTTAAGCTCATAAAAGGTAACTTTGTTCACATCGTCCTTCTTTTCCGTCGAGACGTAAGCAGAAATGTACGATTTGTCGAGGATCTTCGCTTTAATGCGAGTTGTGGTAAGACTGAATACTCTAGCACAACGTATCCGACATCAAATTTGCAATCCTTTACAAGACGGCTTTACAAGCCACAAGGACCTACTCGGTTCGTATTTGTACCGTATAATGCAATCCCTGGATGGCATTGATGTTATACTTCAGGCTTCAGAGAAGTGAAGTGGCGGCACCTTCCCAATTAAGGGACTGAAAATGAGATACTCTTCAATCGTGGGCGTTTTTTTCAATGTTTGCAGTGATCGTCATCTAAAGAGGGGTTTTCTATTTGAGCCCTTATTTTACTTTTCATTGGAGCTGATTTCTACATGATGGGTTCCATTGGTGAAGGACTCTAGTTGAACCCTTCAAGCTAATATGCTGGAGTCGCTCCACTAAAGCTACCTCTCTTTTAACCATGGCTGCACGAACGCTCCTCGCTACTCCAACTTAGAAAGTTGTTAATGCACATCAAAAAGGTGGGAGCCGAGGACGATAAAGACCTCCACTGATTCAAATTACGACCAATTGGTACCTACGCGAATTAAGAAGATCTATGGCTAGATAAATTCATCATTAAGGTATCGCTATTGTCAAAATTTGGGTTTCAGGCCCAAGAGATTTCAGTTCAAGTACTGAATAAAAAATGAAAATTCCTCTCCTAGAAACCTTCGGTCGTTCGTAGGCCGATTATACATAATATTTTATAATCGGCAGAGCTCCTCTTTTAACTTGTGGTGTGTGGCTTGTGTTTTTCAATAAATGGATGGACCAATCGTTTGCTCTAAGTCGCCTTCCAAAGACTGAGATTTTTATGAAGATCTCATTACAAAAATACACGCGGAAAAGTTCTCCGCCGCTGGATAAAACTTTAGATTCATTGAAATGAAAACTGTATAGTTTACTCCTTTAGCGACAGATGAAGAGTGTTGAATAATATAAATGCAGGTCAAAGGTCAACCACATTTCACACTTAAGCAAATTCAGATATATATTTTTACTGTGTAAGCAACCTTCTCTTTTTCCAATTCCAGGACAAAGCCTTCTCTTATGGTCCCGCCGTAATGTCCAGGCTTCTCGAATACTTTCAACTGAGTGGAGACATCCTACAAACGCATATTTCTTCACCGCGTTCCACAGCCTATCTCGCTTCGCTTTTTTATTCTATCAATCGTGTGAATAATTTTTATGTTTATGGTGCAGGTATTAACCTCAAGGAGTATCGCAAATTTATGGAGATCCTTGGCGTCTGTAATATACGCATTTTTGCTGAGCTCTTCACCTCCTTTCCATTAGAATCGAAGCGTTTCGGTTATGTCGTTGGCATATTTGCAAATCCACCGAATTCGTTCAGCGCAATTTCCGATCCAATCGATTTGATTTGCTCCCGAGGCGGTGACTTGAGTATGTTAGAAGTACTCACTGAATCTGAGATAAGCGATGAGGGCAAACGTCGAGTATCGCTAATACTCGAGGAACAATTGCTTACACTACAAATGGCAATGTCCAGGCCGCAAATACAATTTCTACTCTACCAAACACATTCGATTGTATCGGCGGAAAATCAAGATATGATTGATTATGCTGTGAGGTTGGTAAACGAAACATCTTTAAGGAAACATCAAAGTGCGTTCCGTGAGAAGAAACGCCTCGAAGCACTAGCTGAAGCTGAGGCAGCTAATATTCCAGCAGCGGCTATGGGTTCGCCAAGGAAACGTGCAGCCAATACACAGGCTGATGAAAAGGGAAAGTCATCGTCCGCAACAGAGGCGGGTGCTGCAAGAACGGACGGACCTGCTGAACCGACTGCAGATGCAGATGATAGCGAAGAGAGTGTAGTATTGCCAGAAGCCGATGAATTTATATGCGAAACTATACCAGACATATGCATTAATCGGGACAACTGTATCAAACAACATTCCATTGGGTGTTATCTCTCGCTAATTAAGAGAAAGAAAGTTACACAACTAAATGCAAAATATCTGATCAAAATGGCAGAAGCGAGAGGTCTATTCGATACAGCTGAAAAGAGTCCTGTGCCTAAAGCGAAAGGCATAAAAGCACAAGATACAAATGTGGAGCCGGTAATAGAGACTGAATACTTGAACAATCATAGAGAGACGAAGCACATCAATGTGGATCAATTGGTAAGCACTGAAACGTTTTATTCTTTTCGTATTTCTATAAATATTAAAGCCATCTTGATATCCATCAGACGGGTCTCACATAGGCAATAGCACGTGCACTATATGCGACTAAAATTATATACTACTACACGTCCAGCTGTATCTCTGGTTGGTTGATTGAAATAAATGTTCGTTCGATTTTATGAATTTTCATTAGTTTCATCCAACCTTGTCTACCCCAGCCCATAAAAAATATACTGTCTACAATCCGCGCTGCTTCGTGGACCACTGCCTTAAACAACATTTAAGTCAGCTGAAGGGTCTGAGGCAAACGATGGTGACAGTCTCATCAGCGACGCCAGCAGGAGCCACCTTTTGGCTTCTACATCCATGTATTAAAGAAGGGTTCATTCGGCATATACAGTAATGCGAACAATCTCTACTTGGAAATCAGAGTTATGGATATCTTCACTGTTTCCTGTGGGTCTATGAAGAAGTAAGTTGCTTGTGGCTGGCAGACGGTTTATTCTTTCCGATCACATTATACGTTAGCCTCATCTCTGTCGTGATTTCCTGTTAGGGAAAGCGCCCACTTGTCGTGGGCTTTAAGGCAGCTAGCTTTTAGCGCTGCTCCATATTATACGTTGACTGGCCTGATATCGATTATGACTTCTAGTGCCTTTGTTGAGGTATTTCTGATAGTGACCTTTATACCCAGTAAACAGGCACATTTCACCTATTCCAATAGTTTAATACGGCTCTTATCGTTCAATGTCGGCACCCATACTCATGCTTCATGTAGACCTCGCACTCAGTCATTCGATAAAATTTCTTGATTAACGCCGCACGGGGATGACTTTTATGGGTATTAAACGTCTAACTTTGTTAAAGACCCTTCTTCAGTTCCTTCTTATGTTTTTGAGCTCTGCCGGAGGAGTAGAGCACAGGCTTTTTCAAAAGCATTAATGACGCTTTCTGTAATTTTGTAATGGATCTAATGTGTGCAGGTTCTGAGAATGTATTTAGCGGCCGACCCAAGGCTGTCACATATTATTTTTGTCTCAGTTGTTTCTGGTATTATTGCATATATCGGTCGCTGAGATTCCCTGACGTCTATGTACTAGTCAATCAGAGAATAGTTACTCGAAGTAGGCCCACCGACAAAAGGTTTATCGTACTACTATTGCAAGTACAATAGTTACATCCAAAGCTTCCCTTCGGCGCCTATTTCTTAGTTCAATCAATCAATATAACCATTCCAATCCCTCAACTACCTTTGAGTACCATCATTAATTAAATTATTTATGCATTTCATTTATTTTTATATCTTCAAACTCAGATATCGCGGCTAATGAAGGATACGAATTCAAGTTTAAATCGCATTGGAGTGTCTAAAGCGTCGAACTTAAATCATCCGGTAAAATTTAAATTCAAGAGAAGAGAATGCACACGCTACAAGGCTACATTGCTAAAGGTTCTTACGAGAAATTCTTCTTATTCTTAATTAAATTTAATTAAATTATTGTTGTTGTAATTATGTTTTAGATCTATCAACTAACAAAGCAAGAAACAGGCGTGTTTCGACGATGTTCTCTTGATAGTTTCGAAGAAACCTGTTCGGTTGCAATTTGCTGTGTGAAACGTAAAAATTTAAGAAAATATCCATATCCGTTACATATACAAAACTTGGTAATGTAAATTAAAACCTTATGTATGGATTTTAATTAAACTAAGAACATTAATACTCCACCAGTGAATTTAAAAAATCTTTTGCTGTGTTGTTTTTGCAGGCGTAAAAAATATTTTCGAAGACCGTTTTTGGGGAAGGTTGAGGGAGTGAAGGTCCGTTATAAAGACCCGACTGACGCGGGAACCTTGGGATTTTAGTCGCTTCATACGACAGGCATGCCCTAACGCGGGTAGGATCATGAACCACCACCTGCAGCGACGATCTGCTACTGCCATCAAAGGTGTAACAGCATGCTTAAGTGGGGAATGTCTCAAAGTAAACTACTCTCTCTCATGCTCTGGTATCTTGTGATTAACTTGCTTCTAACAGCAACTTTATCGTAATAGCGGATGATGAGCTAGGGCTATAGGAGTAACAAACTCTGTGAGAAGGATATTGAACTGGTTCAATCATCTACGCGAAACGGGTACAAGGAATAAACCGTGGCTACCCCCGTGGGCAGTGCTGAATGTCGAAGGATTTATGTTATTTTCGTTGTTGTTGCTTTAATCCCAAAGTCGTTTTTGGTGAATGTTGTGGGAGCTACAGTCGTTACCCGGATAAAAGTCCGGTTCGTTCCGGTATAAATACCTGACGGTCGCGGTGACTATAGCATTTTAGTCGCCTCTTAAGACAGGCATACCTTGAACGCGTAATTCGCAGGGGTCGTCGAATGGACTATCTATTCCGCTAGTTCCATTTCTCTACGGTCAATTGACAAGCTAGAATGCCAAAAATCGTGATGAGCATTAAGGTAAGGTTGCTTATAACCAAAAGGATCTCGGATTAGAGCACTTATAATGGAGCGATATTTCTCTAACGTGATGTTAATATTAAATATTTAGAGCTCAAAATAGCTTGACTTGACATTGAGTCTACTCTCTATGGGTCATAAGACTCAAGTCTACACGAATTGATTCTAACCGTGGTAGTTACTCTGAGAGTTCGCCTGTCGTAAGGTCGGGTCTTTATACCGCAACGTTCCGGATTTTATCAGCTCAAGAACTATGACTCCCGCAACAACAACAACAACAACGACGACGACGACGACAAAAATATGCCCTAGGATCAAAGTTGGCTAAAAAGCAATCCCGACAGAGAAATATTTCGAGGTTGCCAAAAAACTGGCAATCCTAAGGTGGATAAAATCCGGGACAACTCCGGTGCGCAGAGCTGACAGTCCGGTTGAACGCTGCTGATCTAGATGGTGTCGCTGAGTTTTGTTTGTCGGTAAGGTAGCTTAAGAAACAGCTACTGACTGAATAACAGCATCTGTGCATTAAAATTCCTACGAACTATAAAACTATAAAGGATATTGATTCGAATTGTTGAGTTATCAATATTGGTATTATTGTATTATTGCTTAAATAAATATTGTATAAAAAACTTATTTTAGAGTTTTAAAACATTTTATCATACTACGCATAAACATCTGTAAGTATGTAGTAATGTCTACTATATGCCTCTTTTTCTTCTAAAACACTTAATAAAGAATATGAGTACAATACTTGTTAACAGCATAATGAAAATTAAGGATAATTTGATTGTTCGCTCATCATCTTCGCTGTTCAACGGCAAGGCCTTTTGCTTAGCTTCAACATGAGAATTTATTAACTCAGCAACTTTATGATCTAGGTAAGGAATAAAAAAAGAATAAGAAGTTATGAGTAAATTAAACATATAAATATGCGTTAAAATAGTTTTGACTATCCCCATAAAAACGTACATTTTGTGGGGAAAAAAACACTGACAAATTTTTGTGCATATCCACAGGCCGGTTTAAAATAGTTTTAAATAAAATCTGCGCGATTTTTAGTTTTTAATATCTCTTAAAATATACAGAATTGAGAAAAAAAATGTTAGAAAGCCCAATGAGCAATAAAATCCGAAGCTTTGGCATTTTTTAATTCATATTCAAATAGTATTCTCAATGAAAATTCGTAAACAATACATAATTCTAATAATGCTAGCATTTTTGGTACATAGACTATTTTTATTTTTCAACAAACACTAATACGACAATATGAGGAACTTTTTTCTACTTTTTTTTGTTTTGTAATATTATACATATAAAGTGTTCTTATTTTTTTTAATAAGATATACTCACCTTTGCTTGCTTTTAACAAATTTAAATCGATTTGTTTCAGCCGTGTCGTACTTAACTTTACTTCCGCTGAACTGATACTCTGCGGCGTTAGCCAACTGAGGTTTTCACACATTTCCGTATCTCTTTTATGAAATTTATTATTCGAATCTATTACTTTTGAATGCAAATGTAAATTACTGCTATATAAGCGCAGTGGTAAAGTATCCTCAGTATTTGTATAAAATTCATTGATACGATTTAGTTTTTGTAACAATTCTGATTTATATGAAGTCATTGTGTATTCCAAGATAGCATCTAGCAGCCAAAAGCAGGCCTTTTCCAGATGTATGGAGTCCAAACAATTTGAATCACTAAAAACTGCAATGCGCCCACTTGTATTGGGTATTGGCATTGATAATGTTTGTAGCATTTCTTTAATATTTTTCGATTTCTTTTCCGGCAATTTATTTATAATATTGCCATTGAAACGCCTGCTGTGCTTATCAATAACACTTACACCAAGCAGTATGCGTTTATTTATTATGGGATTTCTTTCCGCAGAGATTTCTGTTTCGATATTTGGTTGCTCCACATTGTTCTCTTCATAGCTGGTGGGTGTCTGTACATTCACCGCCAAATATTGTTTACGCAATTCATTTTTGGTTTGAAAAAGACCAAGTATCGGTATAAAAACTTTCTTTATATCTGCAACGTTAGGATTTTCTAAAATCTATAAAATATATAATGTCATTTTAATAATAGCAACAAATGGGATTCGATTTGCACACAATTTACATACCTCAAATCCCTGATCATGTAATTCGGCACCAATAACAATATCACCAGCGCTACGTGGTATTTTCGCCAAAGTTGTGCCACTGGCAATGTACATTGAGTGATCGCCCAAGGTAAAGAATCCCTCAGCGATGAAATCACTAAACGCGATGCCATAGGGTTGAAGTAGCTCATTTAAAGCTGGTATATTGGCGCCACCAGTATCGGGTATCCACCATTGACGTGTGTTTTCGTCGAAAAATTTTATCTTTTTCATAACCGTTGTATTATACCAATCCGCGAATACCACTATGCTGAGTCCCTCGTTGTAAACATCATTTTCAATTTTCTTTATTTCAGCATCGAAGAATTCCTCCTCCGTATCGACAACAAGCAGTGTACCATATTCGCTTGCATTGAAGCAGGTGTAGGGCATACGTAGTATATCTATATAATAACCAGCATTACGTAAATGTGTATATAAGTCCCGAAAGTTTGTATGTAAATGATCTGCACGCCAATCTAGTGGATCGGATTTGATTTTGAGATTATCCCGTGGTATATAACCTGGTGGATATTTCAAACTATGATATTGATCCCAAAGTATTCGTTTGTTGCGAGGCGGTTTTGGTATAACGACTACTTTAAGTGGAAAGTTTATTTTGGATACTACTTTTCCTTCGCTCTGCTCCGGTAAGCAATCAATTTCCAGACTTATATGACCTTCGGCGGCACCTTTGAAATCAGCACCCTTTTCGTTGACAACTGAAAAAATTAAGAAAAAAATTTAATTAAAATATGTGACTATACTACGAAATAGAGAACAGCGATACGAGTACAAAATGTAAATTCTTTTTCCAGGAGGACTCTTTAAGGACAGTACCTATATGCACCGACATCCAGCCTGACCAAGGCCATAAACTTGGCGAGTATGATACAGCGACATTTAAAATATCTCCATGCTTGTCAGTATATGGATGCCATTTAGGTGCATCTTTGATCTCCCCAGTTACGGCAATACCATTCAATATAGTTACATTTACAATGATTGGCATGCTGCCATAGAATATCGGTTGAGAACTATATGGCCACATATAACTTTCTGTAGCATCCAAATATTCCGGGCTAAGTGTTATTCTTGGCTCATAGGTCAAAAGTAATTGCATGCTTTTTAAGATATCCAACTTTCCGTGTCCTTGTTCAAACATATTATTATCTGGTAGACGTTCAGCACCTTCGATCAATATTTGTTTCATAGATGAAGGATTTAAGAGATTCATTTTTGATAATGCACCACTGGCTATTAACGCCACAGCGCCAGCAACAACAGGTGATGCAACTGATGTACCCGACAGCGAGCGGCAGCCACCATGTACGTTGCTGCCTTTTACTTGGCTCCCGAATGTAACGATGTCGGGTTTTAGTCTACCGTAACCCCAAGGCAATTCCCAAGTTGTCATGCCACGCGAACTAAATTTTGCAACTTTTTGTTCGAAATTAATGCCACCTACACCGATAACGTCACTTTGATCACCAGGATTATTTAGCGTGCCATAGAGAGGACCATCATTTCCGATGGCAGAAATCATAATCACTTTATTGGCGGATAGCTCAAGCACTTTATCCACAAATGGGTGATCCAAAAAATCTGGTCCTCCTATGCTCAAGTTAAGTACTTTGATTTTCTTAAAAATAGCATAGTTGAAAGCGTCCAAAAACCAAGAAGTATAAGAAACCTACAAATAATGAATGAAAATAATTAGATAATATACGGTTTACATAAAATTTTGCAATATAACCTGAGAATTTGTAAATACTCTATAAATGTGCAACTCAACATCAGGTGCCAGTCCCAGGCACTCCTTAGCTGATGCTATAACACCAGCAACAAATGTGCCATGACTGACACCATCATCCAAAGATTTCTCATTTGTCCAGTTTGTGCGCTCTTTCACACGACGAAAATGTGGGTGTGCCTTTGCCAAACCAGTATCAAAAACAGCTACTTTCACGCCAGCCCCTGTAATGCCCATACCCCATAAAATATTGGCTTGTAGCATATGTGTGATTTGGCCGGGCAATGCACGCAAAAGATGACGGCCTACATACTGCCGAGTATGATTATAATTTAATATCCTTTCTACACTTCGTTGGGGCGAAATTCTTTTGATTAATGGATGTAGCTCTAATTGAGATATATGCGTGGCTGTGTTGTCTTCACATTCCAATTGTATCAAATCGAAGTCGCTCGGATAATAGCCGGCGAAGTTTTTACGTTCGACAATATGAAATTGTGATACCTTGAAAAAGAAATTAATGAGTATAGAGTATTCTGAATTGTGAAAGTTAAAAACTTACATTGGCGCGTCTGAATGCGGCGTTCAGGTACTTCCATCTGGTGGCCGGCATATAATAGTGCCGATATTGCACAATATATTCATTTTCTACAATTGTACTGTCAAATTTCACTTCTTCAACTTGAAAACATGCCAATCCACTTGTTTTCCAATATATATTAGATGTAAAAAGAGCGTAAAACACGATTATACGTGTTAGTAATAACAACATATTTTATTTATATTGTCGCTTTTGTTTTGATTACATTTTCTCGTACAATCAAAAAAATTCTCATTATAATCAGATGATAGCCGATATTGCCAGATCTTGGAGTAAACTCTCCAAAGCCTAGCAACGCGTGCAACTTAAGTTGCTATAATTATAGCAAACAGCGAAACAGATCAATTAACTCGGATTCTTATTCATCGCTTCAACCGGCTTATAGCTCTAAAAATTCAAGAAAAGCAAAAATACAACTTTACATCAAAACATTTAAATGACATTGTAACAATGGGATGTTGTATTATATGGACCTGGGAGACACGTGATCCTGCCTTTCCAATTCAGGTTATTCCAAGTATATTCGATTGCTTTGCTCGCGCTTTAAAAAAAAGAACTAAAGAAAGAAAGAAAACTAAAGAACAAGTCTGTTATGCTGCAAAGTAACTCCAGTTAATTGACTGTTAACCGGCACCCATAACGTCTACTACAGTCGCTGCAGAAATAGCATAGTCAGTCTACCCCTTTAGTGAAAAGTTGATGCAATACACAAGTGCACTCAACCGGCAACATTGGCCACCAGATGTTTTTGCACCTACAATAAATGACTCAAATTGTGATTTTCTATTGTTTATATCGGTAGCGCAATGCTTCAATTCATTTTTTAGCCCAGAAAGATATGAATTTGTGACAACGAAACCATTGGGGAATCACTTGACCAAACGTACGCGCGGTGCGTTTAAGAATGGTGTTGCAAGATAAGATAAAAGCCTATCGATACTTAGTAATAAAGTGGTGTTCATCGTGTATATATCGTTTCCAAAAATTGTTTTTTCTTCAATATTTTCAAATTTTTTATATGGATAAAAAGCAAAGTGATCTAAGGTGTGGCAAGTGCTCTGTATATATTGTGTATTGAAATTACTTGAATTGCATGCGTTGCACTTTCAAGACATTTCCCGAGTCGAGTTCAATAAAATACAAAAAAAGTAGCAATTAAAAAGAAAAACTGCTTGAAAATGGCACCGACCTACGACAAAGAAATGTTTAATATGGTAAATAAAACAATGATACAACTATCAATAAATATTTTTAATTTCGAAAAAATATCTTTCTCTATTTTTTTTTTTAAGTCTATAAGTGTTAATAAGGCACTAAATCCCATGGAGGCACCACTTAAAATGAAACATGCTCGCTTCATTATTATAACAACCCACCGCGTCAAAGAAGCGAAATCACTTTGGATGATTTTCACGCGCCAACCCTTGATGGAGAATCGTTTTACTGCATGGAAATTTTGTCATCTACTACATAAAGTACTGCGTGAGGGTCACGCAAGCGCTATCAAAGATTCACAGACGCATAAGAAAATGATTTTAGAAATGGGAAAATTATGGGGGCATTTACAAGATGGTGTTGGCAATTGCATACAAGCGTATAGCAAATTAATTGTTACAAAACTAGAATTTCATGAAAAGAATGTATTATTTCCCGGTTCGTTGTTGATAGACTTTAAGGAAATTGAAAAAGCAGCTAGTGATGACATCAACATTTAGTAAGTACATAAACTACCTTTATGCAATCTAGATTTATTTAAACAAATAAATAGCTACGTGTATTATTTTTGTTGAGCTTGAGTTGAATTATAAATACTTAGTTTGCGAAATTGAATGCTACATACATATGTGTGTGTGAATGTTTGTATTATTGAATTTAAAATTACAAAAAAAAATTGACACATGCTTTTAATACGTTAAGTAGGTATAATCTTGCGCATATTTTCTTAGATAAGCTCGCTCAACTGTAATAAATAAAAATTATTAATAGTATACTAATCGAAAAGAGTAAAAGTTTGTTATAAGTTTATTTTGACGTTGTTATCACTATTTTTATTAATAACCTTTTATATTTATATATGTAGAAAAATTAATATTGATTTATTTAATACCATTATACTTATTGTATTTTTTCCAAAAATATTGTTTATATTTTCTTTGTTCATAAAACACATTTTTTTAATTAATTTTAAATTCCATAAAATAACAAATTATACAGTATTTTTTTTAGTAAAAGCACGTATCTTAGTTCCGCATAGAAAATTTAAATTTGACTCCTATTTTTTTGTTTGTTAATAGTTAAATACATATATTTTCTAAATTCGATAAAATTCGTAAATCAAAAATAACGAATAATTGAGATTTAAATGTTGGCAAACATTTTTAATTTCGTTGGGAATATTTTCATTTTTTTAATTAAAAAAAAAAAATATTTTAAAAAACTTTCTTCTTTAATTCTTTAATCTAATCGCATTTATTTAACCGACCGAAATTTTTTGTGCACCGTTAAATAGAACCTAAACATGTACATATCTTGATACTTAATTTTCAATCGAAATAAATATAAAAACTCTCTAATACGTTTTTCTCAGTTTCCAACTGTGTGTTGAAATCTTCGACTATTTGGACGATATTTTGGAGGTGCAATCTCGCGTATTTACATCAATCAATGCATATCGCATGTCTTCCATGACACCGCAGGGACAATGCCGCCTCGCACCATTAATCACACTCATACAAGATTCGAATCCGTTGTACGACTTGTGTGTACGCGTTATGTTCAAATTACATGACAAGCTGCCAAATGATATTTTAACCGGACATCGTGATCGCTTTCGTGAATTATTTTTCAAAATTAAATCATTCTATAATAATGTACGACCATTGCAGTATTTCTCTGATTTGATACAGGTGCCACATTTACCCGAATCGGCACCGAATTTTACATCGAAAGTAGATTTTAAAAGTTATGTACCACCAGTTATGCATGTTCAACCCGATCCGGAGCCTCCTATGGATACTCTAGTAGATACTAGTATTTCACAAGAATCCGCAAGTACACCAACTGCAACTGGACCAGATGTAGCCGATAGTGCTATATTGCAAAATACCATTAGAGATTATGAATATGCATTACAAGATGTTCAATCAGAGTTGTTAACAGTCAAACAGAATTATGAAATGATGGAAAGAAATTATGAACATGAATTACAACATTTGCGTAATGAAATCGGTGGCCTAACTACTGAATTGGCTCAATCAAAAGAGTTATGTACCAATATGCAGGCACTGAAGGATACTCTGGAGCAAAAGTTAAGCGAAACACCAGTTTTAATGCGTAAGTTAATAGTCTATTTATTTACGTATATGTTATTTGTTTTATTCAAAAAAACAAAAAAAAAAATGAAGGAAAAACATATATTATAAAACTCAAAAAATTAATATAAAAACAAGATAATAATTTAGGAGTTTTAGCATATTTTCAAATGCATTTTTAAATCATATTAATTATAATATTGCACATTTGGCTGCCAAATGTTTTCTGTTTGTAATGCAACATTTTGCAAATCTGTTCTTAAATCCAATAATCTCAAGTATTTGTCGTATATAAACTTTTATTACACACACAAGTGATTTTTTTTTTTTTTGTACAAACTGATGCATAGTCTGTATTAAAGAAGCCAAATGTTCATTAATATTCAATTCCTATATACATATATACATTTATTTATTAATAATATAGATAAAAAGAGCAAATTTTTTAATTGAACTTATTGCTAAATTATCTTGGCATATTTTCTTTACAGAAAAAGCTACTGAAGAAGAACAAAAAGCCAAAACATCAGAGGAAAAATTTAATAAACTGAAAGCGATGTACACCCAAATGCGAGATGAGCATATAAATTTACTGAGGCAGGTAAGCAAAGAACATATAATAAATGAAGGGTGTTAATTTAATAAATAATTCAGCATTTTTATCTCGATTATTGCGCGAAACAAAAAAAAAAGAAATTTAAAATTTATTTAAAGATGTTTTATTGACATTAACTAAGAACAGTAATGTGTTTCCGCTATCCAATATTTTTGATCTTTGTTGACTTATTCATATGCTTGCGGGTCAGGGGTTCAAGAATTTAGCCGCGGTAAGGCATGTCTGTCGTATAAGGTGACAAAAATCCAAGAGCTTCCGCGACAGTCGGATGCTTGTACCGAAACGACCCAGACTTTTATTCGGTCAAGGACTGTCACTCCCGCTACATTCTGCAAAAACTATTTTATGGAATATTTTTGCGGTTACAAAAACAGCAACATAGGAGCAGAAATATAATATAAATGCGACTACCAAATTTACGAAAGTAAGTTTTCTTTCTTATGTAAACAATAGCAAGAAGAGGCCACCAATCAGCGGTGCTCATTGCTTAATTTTTCTGAGCTTTGTGGATTAATCTCGAAATTCTACCAATGACTGCCGACTATTCAGGTAATTCATGATTTACCTATTTAATTCCGGCGATAAAGATTGTCCAATGGTAGCATTGCATAATTGGCTGTATGAAAGTCTTTCGTCCTTCGACCTTAATATTTAATTGGACCACTCTACCCTGTTTTCACATGTCGGATATTGTTAGACTGGGGAGAGGTAAGTTGAGGGAATTGATGTGAGTTCCGCTCTGGCATCTGACTAGTATACATAACTGTGATTGATGTTGCCATCGGCACAGTATTGCACATGATGCGCCTCGAAGAGACCACCTTGACTTCACTGACGGGTAATTCTCTCGAAATTCATTCTCAGCGTAAATAATGGAAATTTTTAAGTCAGCTACATAGCAGCTGATGTGTAACGGCAAATTGTGAATTTTATGGATAGCTCCGGAGTTCAGCATGTCTAAGTACATCAATGAAGCAAACACCTTTTATCAAAATTTGCATCAAATTCTTCTCATTAGAGGTTCGATGGATTATTGCTGTTTCAAAAGACATAGGCATAATCCTCCACCGCCGTGCCTTCTGCACTCTTAACTTCTTTAGGTGGCTACCACCAGGCATCTAAGGTCCAGCAAAGCTCCACATGTCATAACTCTTAGCAAAGCATGTCAAAACATCGCTCTTAGGCCGTCACGCGAAGCCTACTGATGTCATCGATGCTTTCTTACATAGTAAAATATCTATGATCCAAGTAAAAGAACATAATGTTATGATGTGTTAGCAATATCTGCTGGGATGTTACTATCGGGACAATCCCAACAAACCTCCACCCAGGCACACCAAGACAGACCAAGAACTCGATCTGTACCGAGATATCCAACACAATTATGATCTGGTTATTCAACTTGACTTGATTCCTACCTATCCAGACTTGACCTGGACATATCCAACGATTGTCCTATATTCAATGAAAACCCACAGGACACTTTGTATGTCCCGAACTCACCTGACACTCGTGTCCGAACCCGCCAAAGTAATTCGAATAATGTACCTCCGGTTAGATGAGCCGGCTAACTTAGACAAGTCTCGTCTGCTCCTAAGTGGGGTTGGTGAATCACTACAACAACAACACTATCTTGTGGAACAGGCTTCTAATCCTCATCTACCCAATTTTATTTAAACTTACTAATGTCGGAAACATTTTTTTTTTTTATAGCATGGTGAGTCTACAAAAAGTTTGAATCGAGAAAAACTAGCGAACTCGGAATTGCATGCCGAAGTGGACAATCTCAAATTGCAAATAACCGAAATAAAAAATGAACTTGAAAAGAGTGAAAAAATCGGCAATGAAAAACTTGAGCTAGCAACAGAAATAGAAACAATAAAACGAGATTATCAAAAACTGAAACAAGAGCATGAGGATTTGCGAAAGGAATACCAAAGATTTACCGACAATAAGAATAGCGAAATAGCTGAGTTGTCTGTGAAAGCTGTGCAACTGCAAGCCGAATCGATGGCATTGATCGAAAGTCAAGCTAAGGTTGTACAGCTTGAGGATAAGCTCAATACGATAAATGATACGCTTAACAAAGACCAAATGGAACATAGCGTTATCGTCAACCAATTTAAAAAAGACTTGGAGAACAAAAATGACAATATAATAGAGCTGCAAGCAAAACACGAGAAAGAGATATTAGAAAAAGTTAACAAAATTAAGGCGTTGGAGTTGAGCATAAATGCCGTTGAAGCCAACTTAACGGTATGCAATTTTTATTGTATTAAAATTTTAGTGTATAGAATATATTTCTCTAAATTTTTAGGAAAGCAAAGCAGTAGTTGCAAACCTTGAGACTGCGCAACATACACACCTTGCAAAGCTTCAAGAACTGCAAGAGCAGAAAAGAATTTTAGAGGCTAATTTAAACACAGCCAATACTGCATTAGCATCGGAAACGGCGGCAAAACTTAAAAGCGAAGAGGAATACAAAAATAAAATTAATTCTTTATATCAAAAGGTTTTGGGTACCATCGAATTCATAACGGAATCAAAAGTAAACGAAGTAAATCAACCAAATTTCGATAAGACAATAAAATTGGTGGGCGATATGGAGAGGTCATTACAGCTAACGGACAAAAGCTATAAACAATGTGCTGAGAATAAACAAGTTGTTGAGGATGTCACGCAACAGACAATACATTTGGTTAGCGTTTTCATAACGTTGCATGAACAGTGCCTCTTGATATATAATACAACCACCGATATAGGCAAAGGCGAAGGTACGCAAAATACAATAATAAATAAGTGTTTAAAAATTTTAAATAATTTTATCTCCCTCACAGATATTTATAATCAAATCAATAATGTAAAGGACCCACTGCTCACACTTTTACGACAAATTAAAAATTTCGAAAATATTTCTAAATTTGAACATTCCATTGAGGATATTAGACAGAAACTAAGTTTATTAAATAAATCTGTAGCCGAACTCAACAATGCCAACAGCAAACATATTGAGCTGGGAGATTTGGTAGAGAATGAATTAGCTGAAATGGACAAGGCTATCGAAGAGGCTGCGGCGAAATTTGTCGAATTGCTTTCAAGTGCACGTTCCAAAGATGAGGGTATAAAACTGGAAGTGAATGAGAAAATTTTGGATGCCTGCACATTCCTAATGCAGTGTATTAAATTATTAATACGTAAGGCAAAAGCTCTGCAGGGAGAAATCGTGTCAGCCGGTAGAGGTGAGCATAAATAGAGTAAGAGTGTAGGTATGCGTTTATGGAGTATTATTATATATATTATATATACTACATTTATGGCATCTTAGCTTATGTTATACCGGTTAGCTGTCACGCCATACATAGTCCTGCTAGTCCTTTGTAGTACGTACTAACAGGCCCTTCTTGCGAAGTTTAAGAGAGCTGTAATGTCTAATTTTTATACTTCATCTAGTCTTTTGAACTGCGAAGCTCCTAGATATCCAAGATAAAATCCAGATAAGGCCAGCCAGTAGCTACGCATGCTGTCTCCCCGCACTTCCTGCACATGTGTCATCGTTTCTGTTGTGTCCATTCGGCTGGCGCGTAATCCCAATAAGTTGTAACTTGTCATTAGGCCAACAACACTCTTGCAATAATTCTGAGACCGCGTGAGCAAAAAATATGCGTATTTTCCTTCTGCGCCCTTCTTGATCTCCATTCGGCATATCGTTAAGGCAAACCATCTCATACTGACCCGTCTGTTAGATCTTTTGAATATTTCATTTTGCATTGCTTCTTGTAACGTACGCGTTTCTTCACCTGATTCGGTAGCCAGACCGATGGCACTTTTGGCAATCCCATAAACTATTTCGTTAACCGGCCTGTCTTTGTGCCTTGGTACCCAGTATTTATGTAATTTGTTTCCTGCATTCGCCACATCTACCGTCTCCCTGCTTCTAAAGACATTCTCTGACGCAATAAGAAGTTTAATTAATTGACTCTTCTCTTATGTGGTTTACTTGTAACCGCAAAGATTTCCGCCTAGAAGATACCGCAGTATTCTAGCAGCTTAAAAATTTCCCTGCGGATTAGGGGCTCAAGAATTGACCCATGGTAAGGCGACTAAAATCCAATAGTGCCCGCGACAGTCGGGTCTTTATACCGGAACGACCCGGATTTATGTATATCCGACCGAGCAGGGAAAAATCACACTCGTCCCGCTGGCTTGTCTACTCTCCCCGTTATCCTTAATTAGAAAAAAAACGGTCGAACTTAATATAAAAGTTGACGTCGTCAAAATTACGACAACCCAAAGTTACTGCGAGTCTTATTTTCACCATGTAGAGGGGAGTTTGAGCTAAAAATCGCGAGATTCATCGTCTAAAATAAGAAAACACTTAGATCTTATGTCTGCACACAGAGCCATGGGAAACAAGACGAAGAGGATAACATGAGATATCTATCATGACTGTAATATAAATATCATTGTCTTACGCCAGTTAGAACTATAAAGTTACATTGTCTAAAGCATAAGTTCTGCAAGGTTGCCAAATTGTAGTGTAATAATATGCGTTGATCATTTATCTCGTTCTCTGTTTTCACCAAAATTTGGTCCATGGTAAATTGATGTCCTATTGCATGGATTTGACACACTCATAAAATCCAATCAATTCGTGGACGGTCTATTTATTGATTACAACAACTTCGTTAGACAAGTTTTGCATTAAGGTTCAATTAAATTGACGAACTCTTTTGTTCGTATTAAACTAGAATATTTTTACAAACATTTTTATTAATATTTTCATATTACCCTTTAGGAACCACCTCCGTCAAGGAGTTCTATAAACGCAATAGCCAATGGACGGAGGGCTTAATATCCGCTTCAAAGAGTGTTGCCAAAGGTGCCAATCTACTTGTCGAAGCTGCCAACAAAGCTATCGTATCCGAGTCAACACAAAACTTTGAATTAATAGTGGCTGCGCAAGAAATTGCCGCCTGTACTGCCCAATTGGTAATCGCGAGTAAAGTGAAGGCGCCGAAGGAGAGCCAAAAGTTGGGTGACTTAACAAAAGCCTCACGTGATGTGTCACAAGCCACCGGTCAAGTTGTGGCCACCGTTAAGGATTGTAATCAATCTTTAGAGCAGCTGCAAGAGGTCGACTTCACCAAGCTAACATCGTCGCAAGCAAAAACCATGGAAATGGAAATACATGTAAAAGTCTTAGAACTGGAACAAGCATTACAGATGCAACGTTTAAAATTGGCATCATTCCGACGAAAGCATTACCAAAATTCCGACGATTAAAATCGTTATGTACATAAATACATACATGTAAAATTAGGTTTGTGTCTTTTTTATCTTACTTTGACAATTATTTCTAGCTTAAGCTGTACAAAATGTTTATTATTTACTAATAAAGTATTAAAGCATAACACCTGTGTAGAAGAATATGTAAAAGTGGAAGAATATTAAAAAAAAGTAACTGAAAATAGACAATGTAGATTTTCGATATCAAATTGGGCCAGGAAAGGAGCTCTTTTGACGGACGCCGACCAAAGGGAAAGAGATATTAGATGATACGGCTTTAGGGATATGCAAAGGCGGTATACGAGAGTATGACGGGACGAGTATTTATGCGCTGGTGTTATGTCTACTACAACTTCGTTCCGCCAAGAGTACTCGGGTCTCACATGTCAGCTATAGCTCCTTGTCTGCTCAGCTGTAGAAACCCAGCAGATAGCGCGTAGGCGATATTAGGAGCTTTTCCATTACAGTGTACAAAGCGAACGTTTAAGAGGATTGTAGCTTCTTCATCTTCTACATCTTGCTAGTCGCCAAGTACCGGCCAATAACCGGCTTTTAGCTTAGTTCGATTGATTGATTAGGGATTGCACGGCTACCTATATTGTGAGGCAGCTTTTTTTGTTCTGGGGGATAAGTGGTGGGAAAAAATTCAATTCAGAACTTTCAAGTGATTTATTTATACCCCTATAAAAAAATGTTCTATGTACTTGTACCTTCAAAATACGCCGAAACTGCCTCCTTGGTTTCTTCATCGGTAATAAATTCCTTCCGAGTCCCAAAAGACCATTGCCATGAGTTTTCCAGCTCTGTCTGACCCTAACACCTTAAACTTCTTAGGGGTGCGGTGCCCTTTTAATACCACTGCATGGATTCTTGTTTTTTCATGGACTCAGGTGTGTAATGATGAACTCAAATTTCGTCTCCATTAACAATACATTGCACTAACCTTAGTCATGACAAAGTAATCGTGCAGAATTTTCTCATTTCTGTCTCGGGTCGTCTTCATGGGATTCCTCTCCTTGTTTAAATAAACTATACCACTTGTACATCATATTTGCTTTCCCCGGACAAGGGTTGCCTCCTTCATTATGGTAACAATTGATTTTCCTTGCTCGGTAGGAAACTTTATAATGGTAATAAGTTTTTTTGTTACTGTTCGGTAACTAGGTAAATGTCCCAGGCGACCGGTGAAAGTGCTGGAACAGATAAGCCCAACGGAAATTTTTCCCAGATTGAATTGGATTTCGGTTATAGTACTCTACTCTTTGAGAACTTATAAAGACGATTTAACCATATTTCTTTTTGTATAAATTAGGACACATACTTATGTATATATGTTTATTATCATTATTACTTTTATGTCATTTCATATATATGTATCTGTATATTTATTCAAGCAGAAAAAACTTAATTTGCGTGAACAAACTTTATTAAGGAATGAGTAAATAAATATTTGTTATGGTTACTTGTGTAGAAAACTTAAAATATCATCTATTTGTTTTATTATTATTATTTTTATTTTATTATTATTATTATTATATGGTGAGCTTGTGTAGCACACTTCGCTGACCCGAGCCATCATAGCTAAACCGTCTAGGGTTTGTATGCTCTCTGAAATGAGAAAGAAAATAAAGTGAAAGTGTAATAGAAGAACTAAAATGATGTTATCGAAATCAAAGTACTATGATTTTGTCTCTATACTATTTGTTTTGTAATATTAAATAAATTTCTCGAAAATACGCAAGCTGAGCAGAATTTCTCGTTACGCATTTAATAAGAATTTAAGTGTGTGTTTAAAAATATAAATAAATATAGTTTTTTTCTTTAATTTATTGCTTTTCCAATTAATGTAATAGATTCTTACTCGAAAAAGTCGGGTCAAAATTATTAATCTTCTACCAACTGTAGTGATACTAAAAATCAAATGAAAATTCTCGCCCATTTTACCACGTTAATCACTGCAAGAGGTTTTTTACAACAACGACACTTTAAATCGTTTTTTTTTTTCGTAATTTTTCCCATAAAAAAATGTGGCCCAGGAGGACTACTTGAATATGCTGGTTACCCAAAGAAGCTCGACATAAGAGAGTCACTTGAGTTAACAAGAAAAACAAAATAATGGACCGAAATTCCATCTGCTAAACGTAACAAAATCGACGGTTATTCGTGATGAAAACTAGATATTTTAGAGCAATGTCAAATGAAAACGGTTGTGATCGAAGAGCAGTCAGACAGCACAAACGGTCTCCAAAGCCAGGATTGTCGGCCAGGAAGGTTTCGTTGTGTGGCAAGTAATCATTCACTATGCTCCTCTAAAGCTAAACTAGTAATTTAGATCTGTACTGTCTGCAATTTGACCGGCTGAAAGAAGCAATCGCTCAGAAGCGCCCGACCGATCGTGACTCGCCAGAAGCTCCGAGAGCTTGTTTTGGAAATTATTATACATTTACTTTATAGTTCGGACCTGGCGCCAAGAGATTGCCATCTGCTCCTGTCTATGGTGAATAATTTGGCTAGTGAAGAATAGACCTCGATTGTCCCAATTTCTTGCCAATGACATTTTGTGTTTTTGGCGAGCTGTGGGCAATAATAATCGCTACCAATTTTTACTGAACCGAGTTCGGTAAGGCAATATTTGTAGTAAATATTGTAGCCGGCATCGTCCCTGGCTTATACCAAGGCGAATATATAATGGTGAGATCAGGAAAACAGCGACAGTCAGGCAGCAATAAAAGCACTAAGCTCGCTTACAGGAAATTCCAATATTACTAGGCTGACGCCGATCTCAACAGGAGATGACCAAACAGAACAGACTGTCTCTCACATGGTCCCCCAGTCACAGGGACATTGAGGAAAACTGTAAGGCGGGTAAGCTTGCTAGGCCAAAAAAAATATTTTTTCCCATTTTTCGATAAATATAATATTTTCATAAATGAACCGGAATTTGAAAGAAACAATTAATTATGTAACAATTACTTTCGAAACGTTAAACGCGTGTTTTTCTCAAAACGATATTTCCAAAATCTCGATTCCTCAGAAACGACTCAATTATCATAATCAAATTTTTTTATTATTATTTGTTTTTAGACGAAAATCAACATTTTTTCGAATACCACCGTTTTTGACAAGGAACAAAAATTGTTTAAATTTTTTTTTAAATACTCTAACTAATCTGACGCTTAAAGGAATCTATGATGTTTTTTGTTTTAAGGATAAGACGCCCTCCTTTCACAAAACTAACGTTAGAACCAAATTCTTTACTTACGATCTCATATTGCTTGCTTTAAAACTGTTGAAAAAAATGTTTTTTCGTTACATTTGGTTTGTGTTAAATTCACGATGATACCGGTTGTAAAAAATATAAACTTAAATTCTATATTTTTTTCTTTGTTTTTAAATTTTTCATGAGTAAAAAATCCATTTTTGTAATCTCTAATATTAAAATTATTTTTCTAGTTAATTAAAATTGTATTACAAGATGTTCACACTACGAGTAATGTCAAGCGGGCTCGGTTATAAATGAAAAGTTAATTAGAAGCGTAACCCAGACAGTTGAGTCTGATTAAAATATAAAATTTTATCAATAGAAAAATATATAAGCTTAGACGTGAAAAAGAAGAAATGAGCTTTGAAAAAAATAAAAAAAACTATTAGAAAAAAGAAGAAATTAACAAAATATTTAAAGAAGAATTTAAATCAAAAAATTGGCATTCATTTTAGTACGCTTAGCAGTATTTTCGAATTTGTTAGTATAAATCGATCAATAAGAATTTTACGATTTTAAGCATTAGTAATATTATGACCCAGGCGATGCGATTTCGAGAAAAGATATGGTAAATAAAAAGGTATCTTAATAGAAATTGAATAATATTTGATTAGAAATATATGTAAAAATAAAATGAAAAAAAAAAAAAATGCATAAAAATAAATAGAAAAATTAAACAAATATAGTTTATGGAAAATATATATTTTGTAGTATGATGATAAATGATATTTGTTGTTATAAAAAAAAGAATTTCATTGCATATTAGTATATAAAGCAATAACCTAAAAGCAGGTGAACGCTCCCATTTCAACGTGATAATTGAGTGGGTGCGCAGCGGTGCCAGAAGCACCACACCTGCGTGCACTTGAAGGTTAAAACTTTCGAATAATATGAAATAGGCATGCAAAAACAATGAAAAAACAAAACAAAATGATTAATATGAATGGCAACTAAAAAGTAATCAAAATTATAAGACTCGATGATGATGTTAATATTCGAATGAAGGAAAAAGCCGTGTAAATTAGAAAATTAATAAAAAAAATAAAAAAAGTGAAGAGGTTTAAAGTGCTTATATGCAAACGGAGAAAATATGTAGCACTGCAACCCAAGACAGACAGCATTTGCAATGGCAAATTAATTTGTTAAAGAAAATTACCTCATCAGTATCAGCATCTTCTTTGTAATGTCTTGAGCGCCGCTTTTCGCCGCTGGTGAGCAGTTGTGCAACTTTGGTTTGTTTCGCTAAATCTAATGCTTCTTTTTTGCTACGCAAAGCACAGTCCTCCAATGTTTCGGCTGCCTCGAACATACCCTGTCGCCGGTACAGGGCTCCGAGATTCTTTAGTGTGGTTGTAACAGTTGGCGAATCAACTTTAGCCGCTTTATGCCAACCACCGTATTCGCCATATGGTGTATTATCACGATTATCATATTTATGTTCTTCACGTTCCTCAGCGACCTACAGCAACAAAAATCGATTTCAAAGGAATTTTTGTTTTTTTTTAATTTATCTTTTTAAAGGCCACACACACGCATAGCCATATAATATTCATTATTATTTTGAAATTGTAGTTGTCAATATAAAACTAAATAAACCAACCGCATTCCCATTCCCTATGCTATTTTGAAATGGCGCTGTTAAGCGCAAACACGACTTTTTCCTTATTTAGTTTATTTTATCTTTTTTTCAGTTGCGTTTCGTTTCGTTTCACTTGCAAAGCGCATCTTAAGCTTTTTTGCTGCCTTTTAAATTTTAGCTCTAAGTATGTATGTATATGTGTGTTCACATATAAAACTATTACCTACAAATACACATTCGTATGCAAATACTTACCTGCCAGATTGGCTTATTTTTGCTATCAATAGCACCGAACTCACGTTCATGTGCACGGGTTAAGACTTGTTTATATAGGACCTCAGCTTCTGTATATTTTCCTTGTTTTAAATAACAGCTGGCTAAGTTGTTTTTGGTTTTGGCGACATTCGAATCATCTGGACCAAGTTTCGACTCGTAAATTTCTAATGCACGTTGGTAATACTTTTCAACTTCATCATATTTGCCTTGATTTTGACACAACAAAGCTAAATTATTCAATTGCTTCGCCACATCGGGATGATCTTTGCCAAGGACCTTCTCACGTATTTCCAATGCACGTTTGCAAAGTGGTTCGGCATCTTTATATTTGCCACGTTTACCATATAAAACAGCTAAATTGTTAAGAGTTGCAGCAACGGCCGGATGATTTTCACCTAATGTTTTACCACGAATAGATAGGGCATCGTTGAGTAGATTTGCTGCCTCTTTGTATTTGTTCTAATAAAATTTAATCAAAACGAATTATTTTCATTTTGAAATGTGTAATTTTATAGCTAAGTTTTGTAGTCAAATTAAGCTCACCTGATCACGATAGACTAAGGCTAGTATATTTAACATTGTAGCCACATCAGGATGATCGTGGCCACTTGTCTTCTCCAAGTCCTCGAGCGCTTGTTTGCATAGCGGCACCGCCACTTCATATCTTAAAGAGAAGAGAATTGTATATATATACATATATTTGCATAATATGTATTTATTTAAAACAAAATATGAAATACTATTATATTAGTTAAAAATATTTAGATTGAGTACAAGAATTTTAAAAATTAATTACGTTATTTTGGAAATTAATATTAAACAAATATATATCTTTTTTTAATCTCAATGGCAAATTTTACAAATGAATTAATTGTTTCAAGTATTTAATTTTTGTGTTATTTTTTTTTTATAATTTTTAATTTATAATTTAAGTTTTTTTTCATTTTTAATTATTTTCTTATTTTCTTCAATGTTTCTTTCACATTTTTTTAATTATTACTTTTTATTTATTTATTTTTATTATTATTTTTTTATTTATTTATTTTTTTTTATTTTTTATTTATTTATTTTTTTTTATTTTTTATTTATTTACTTTTTCTATTTTTTATTTATTTATTTTTTTATTTATTAATTTTTTTAGTTTTTAATAATAATTTCTTTTCTAAATAAAGTTTTCTAATTTAATTGTGTTTAACTTAATTTTCTTTTAACTTAATTTTGTTCAATTTAAATTTTTTATATTCATTTTTTCAATTAAGTTTTTTAATTTAATTTGTTTAATTTAACTTGCTTTATTTATTTTTTTTTTAATTTAACATTCTTAATTTTTTTTAATATAACCATTATAATTTAATTTTTTTTTATATTTTATGTTTTTATTTTTAATTTTTTTATTTTATGTTTTTATTTTTTATGTTTTTTATTTTTTATTTAATTTTATTTTATTTTATTTGTTTACTTTATTTTATTTTTATAAATTATTTCATTTTTTTTTATTTTTTTTATTTCTATTTATTTTTCCTTTTTTTTAATCTTATTATTATTTTTTTTTACTTTATTATTTTTTTTTATTTTATTATTTTTTTATTTTATTATTTTTTCTATTGTATTATTTTTTTTTATATTATTTATTTTATTTTATTTTTTATTTTAATTAATTCTTTTTTTTTATTTATTAATTTTTATTTTACCAATTTTTTATTTTTTTTTGTTTAGTTATTTTTTTATTTATTCATTTTTTATTTTTTTTAATTTTGATTTATTCAATTTTTATTTATTTATTTTTTTATTTATTTACTATTTTATTTATTTTCTTTAGTTATTCTTTTTTAATTATTTTCTTTTAGTTATTCTTTTTTGATTATTTTCTTTTTATTTGCTTTAGTTTTATTAACCTTATTGTATAAAATTTTAAAACTTTATTTTAATATTTTTAGATTCTTTTAAAGTTTATTTAGATTTTATTTAACCTTTTCTTAAATCTTGTATTTTTTTCTTGAACTTTTTGATGTTTTTCATTTTTTAAACTTTTTTAAAAGTATAATTACCTTATTTTTTATTTTTTTAATTAGCTTAATATATTCATTCATATTTTTAATCTTTTTAAATTTTTGTATCTTTTTAATTTTTTATCTGTTTTTATAGTTTTTTTTTTTTAGTTTCTTATAGTTATAGTTTTCTATTCATTTTTATTGTTTTCTTAATTTGTTTTATTCTGTTTTAGATTTTATACCACATACATTTTAGTTTTGGTATCATTTACTACATATAAAAGACATGGTTAATAACATCTACATTTTCTTCATATTTCGTCTAAAATTCAAATTTTGTTAAAATTCTCGTACAACAAAAGAATTATAACCAGGTCAAGCGGATATAAAAAAAATCCTTCTTTTAAAATTGAGAATTATTATATAAATATTGAATTGAAAAAAAAAGATTAAATAAACTATAGTTGTTAGTAAAAATTTCATATCATATCTCTCAAAAGCCGACAGCGTAAGTTGTTTTCCACAAAAAAGCCGGTTCCCACAAATACTGATAAAATTCCTTCAAATATATGTAAGTATATATACATATATGTATATGTGTACATATTTTTTTGCATTCAATGAATTATCCTCGTTCTCTATACATTTTTACTCTCTGAGACTACACAATTAGCTTACTCTAAAATTTCAATTTTTATTGAGATCCCAATGAACCCCCTTTTCACCCCCATACAAAAAAAAATACAAATAAGTTCAAAATATAGAGACAACCGTATACACACCTGCCTTGTGAAGCATATTGAATCACCAAATTATGCAAAGTACGTAGACGTGCTGGTATCTCATAGCCAGCCGTCGAATTGGCGAATTGACTTGGCGGTGTTGGCGACATATTATTACGCTCCTCATTCTCTTCATCGGGAAATAATTCAACAACTGGATCGGCACGTGACTTTTCACATGAATCCTCTTGCTCCTGATTATCATCGTACTTTTTAACAGACGCCATAAATTCCAAATGCTTTTTCTCCTCTTCCAGTTGTGCTACCAATTGTTCGGAGGCTTGGAATTTTTGTTGTGTATTGGCGAGTTCGTCGCGTAACCAAGCATTTTCTTGATGTAAACGCCGTACTTGCGTTTTTAATTTTTGCTTTTCAGCTTCGACATTTTGCAAATGTGAGGCTAATGCCATCATTACTTGCGCCTCAGATAAACCCAGCTCAATATGTTCGATATTTTTACGTACAATATCAGATTTCTCATTTTCACGATGGGCTTCACCCATGCCAGTCATTAGTGAGACATGTTCGACACGTAAGGCCTCGAGACCCTGCAACACTGTTTTTGTATTGCTAATTATTTCATCCTGTGTCATTTGAGTCATCTTGCCGATGCTTTCGATTTTACGTCTGAAAATATGTTATTGTAAATGAAATAATACGAATACATGTATGTAACTAATGGTATGCACATTAATGACATTTTTCATTATAACGAAGATTGTATGAACAAATATGTACATATGTATGTGACTTTTTCACTCTCAAAATTGGATACCCTTACATTGAGAAGTATATATGTATGTACTACGATTATGCCTTGTACAAATATAGACGAACGTATGTAGGCAAGATTTACTACGAAAACCTACTCACAATTAAATTTTACTTTCAAACTACATCAATTACAAATAATTAAATAAAAACATTATTTTCACAAATTCTTAATTGTACTCACATTCTATATGTTCTTATTGCTTTAGATGCTATCATTTTGTATAAAAAATCTAATTTTCAGCAGCCAATGTCTTTTAACGTCTGTAACCGCGTACATTTCCACTCTCTCTGTGTGTACAAATGTCCAGAAATCAATAAACTTCCTGGCATATTTATCAATGTTTTGCGCATGAGCGCAAAATATATGACGTCATTTCAACCCCAACAAATTATAGTGGATCCAAACGTTATTAAACAGGATACAAAAAAATGTACTAAACGTCACGTAACTTAAAAAATTTGAGATATTAAATAAAAAGATAATTCTTTGAATAAAAATAACAAGTTACTTTTATTTTAAATGCACAACAGATCGATAAGTTTTATGCAATAAATAAAATTTTCAGAAATAAAAATAATTTAGGGCGTTTAGATAGGTACATAGGTGTGTTGCTGCAACAATTAAATAATAATTTTAATGACAGTAACTATGAAGAAACAATTTAGTTTTTCAATTTAAAAAACTGTAAACTATTTAATATAAAAGCCTTGAATCTATTGCTTTAAAGCAATCAGATTTTTGGACTCAAGCAAAATCAACTTTTAAAACCATCTGTTTTTGAAGCTAATAATAATAATATAATATAATATGTAAATATATATATATAACACAAACTTATCTGTACTACTTGTAAGCGTAATAATCGCGTCTATTGAAAATAATTCAAATACATTTAAAACTGTTTGTAATGAAACGCAAACTATTTTTCGACTAAAAGTTATAAATAACGATATCGCTAAACGTTAATTACAAGGATCATTTTCAATCTTGCCTTACTTTTTCGTGCATTCTTTACATATTATATGTATGTGTATGTGTTTTGAAGGGGGGCCAACAAAACTCAAAGAAGCACTCAAATGAATAGATTTTATTACTTAAAAAAGAAAGTACATGTCTTCTTTTTAAATATTTCATAAACATACAATAAAATAGGAACGCACTGAAATTGAAATTTATTATTATTTCAAAAGGGGTGGAGGTGGGTGGAGAAAAAACTAAATTAATATTTTTTATAAAAAGTGTCCCTTATGGGCACGGCTAAGTCACTTATCAGTTTTGTGCAATAAACTTTTTGTTAAAGGAAATCGACAATCTCTTGGTTGTATACGCAATTGTGAGTTCAAATAACATTTGATATTTGCGTATATTTTCAAAGTTCGGTCGGCACTCTACAGGATATATCGATACCTCTTCCAGTTGTAATTTTGACAAAAAAAAAACTCCTAATAAATATACATCAGCCGTTTGTGATCAACTTAACACAACATAACTCAAAGGAGATGACCGAAAGTCATTTAATCGTACATTCATTTTTCATTCACTATTATAGCACAGAGTTCAATTTTTTAAACGACTTGAAATTGCAATTGGGTGTTTGCGTGTACTTGTATATCATACATTTATTATTTATTGTCAATTTTACAGTTTTGTAAATAAAGCAGAGCTTTTTTAACAGATACTTTCACAGCGATAAAATCCATAATATGCGTTTAGTTTTGCAATAAGCAAGTGCGTACGAATGTTTGTAATATGTAGACATGTAATATACATGAAAAAATATACGTATATATACATATTTATATTTTGCAGCATACGTACTATTTATATATGTATATGATTTAAAAAAAAATTGTTCATAATGTGCATTACTTCACTAATGACTCACGAAATTTTGTTAATTCATTTTCTCTATTCACAAATGAGCTAATGTGTTCGCTGTGATGATGTATATTTATATGTAGAAACACTCAAATAAATAGAAAAAGAAAGTTTTGTATATTATTACCTGCGGCAAGTGTCGAAAGATATATTTTTGTTTATATGAGCCTGTGAAATATTTGTCTTTAATAGATATGTGCAGGAAATCGTACTGTTTTAACAAAAAAACTGAAACGATCCAAAGAACTTTCGACCGAAATTCATGGAACGAATAAAAATACTTGACTACACCTAAAAGTAATCGAACATCACTGCAACGATTGAGTTAATTTTTTTCATCGAAAAGATAGTTGCCACACCATTAATATTTTTATGATATCGATTTTTTAGTCGTCAGAAAGTCGGAATTTTCGACAAAATGAGGGCGAGAAAAGTTTTCAATCAATCAGAACAGACAAACAAAAATATTACTCCCATATGAAAATTAATATAAAAAAATTATTAAAAGCTTTTCTCTATTTTAACATTATATTTTAAATACTTTTATTACTTCTTTATCTTTTAAAGACAAGGACACATTTTATGTCTCCTTGAAATGCAATATTTTTGATCGTAGGTGAAGTGTCAAAAATCGCTTTAATATTTCCAGAAGAATTTTTCGAAATATCGTCTATATAAATAAAGTAGATCGTCATCTACAAAAACTGTTCAATCGATCGATCTGTCGATTTGTATGGCTGTTGGGGATAAATTTAGGTATAAAAACACATACAAACATTAAAGTCCCATCAATGTTTACACAGAATATTTAAAAACAAGGAAATTTTTAACTTTTCCATTTTTTCGAATTAAATAAAAATATTTTAAAAAATGTATTCCAAACGCGTTCAAATTAGCATTTCCTTAGGAAAAATCATCGTAGAGAAAAATTAAAGAGAATGTACAATAATTAATCGTAATTCGCACTCCAAATACATGTTGCTTTACTTTATTGGTTATACAAATTTTCGAAAGGGAATTACTCCATGCCATACAAATTTTCGACAGCAAATTATGGTAATAAAGGTGAATAAGTGAATTATTGACTCTTAATCACCATGCGAATTACGTCGAAATCGTGGTCTTTCTATCGGAAATCTATCGAAGATAACTGACAATTCAACATAAAAAAGATGGAATTCTCAAAAGAAAACACTAAAACAAAAACTTTTATTTAGATATTCCAAATATAACTTTCTAATGTAAATAAAAAATTAAGTTAATGTCTTAAATTGCGGTGGCCCCGCAGCAGGGAATGTCAGCCTTTCCGATTGTATTTCTCACAAGAAATAAATGCTGCTCATAAAAAACCATCGGCTCCTTGGAGGCGAATCGGTATAATTTATAGTTCCCTTCATTCATTTAAAATACAGCAAGACGCATACCCCAAATTAGAGGAAGAGCTCGGCCGTAAATCGCTTTCGCATTTAAAAAGCACGATTTATATACATATGTGTGTTATACTATATATGAAAAAAACATATATGTTATATTTGTATATCTCTGATCTTGTCATATGAAAGATATAAAAATTTAAGCCTATATAAAATTTTATACTAAAGTTAAAAATATTCTGATAATGCGAGAAAAAACTTAAGTCAAAAGAGGAATAAAATTTAGTGTAAGAAGATCCTACTCAATTTTTGACGCCCTGTTCTGTTTCGCATTTTCAGGTCTATATTTTACATTACGGCAACAAAAGGAAAAGTGTTGCCGGTTTGAGTGAGCGTTTGTAAAGATGAAGTTGGTTAGGTAAATTAATATTTTAGTGTTTTTAAAAATTTTTAATGGATGAAAGATAGCTATTATTCATTCTTAAAACTAAACAGAAATAATTGCCGTCTAAAAAAACCATTACCATGGGCAACGGCGGGAAGGGATGAAATTGTTGATACATGATGGCTTTCCGGCGTCTCATTCTTTAGCACGTTTCAAACGTTTACTAATAAATGAAATGAGATCAATGAAAAATACAACTAAATAGTAGCAATACAATAAAATAAACATCATTGGAAATGTATATCGCTAAGAATATTTATAAGCCAAATGTCTGTCACTTGGGAAGAAAATGGCGCTAATTCATATATCAAAATGTTTTGTTATTTATTGTCCGATATGTTAACTTTTTACTGTATTACTTTAAAGAAATAATCAATTTGACAAGAATGTCGTTTAAGTTTTATTCCACTAATTGTATTTAAAAAAAATACATAACTGCTAATAATAGTCTTAATAAAAAATTATTTCTTTTTAGATTCCTTATGAAACTAAGTCACGAAACAGTGACAATCGAACTAAAAAATGGTACTCAAATTCACGGTACAATCACAGGAGTGGATGTAGCAATGAATACGCATTTGAAATCTGTTAAAATGACTATAAAAAATAGAGATCCAGTACAATTAGAATCATTAAGCATTCGCGGTAACAATATACGTTACTTTATTTTACCCGATAGTTTACCTCTGGAAACACTACTCATTGACGATACACCAAAATCGAAAACAAAGAAAAAAGATAGTAATCGTGCCGGAAACCGTGGCCGAGGACGTGGCGCACGCGGACGAGGTGGTCCCCGTGGTCGTGGACGCGGTCGGGCAACTGGTAGGCGATAAGATATTAGTATACTTTATGAAAATAAAATAAAAAGAAAGGATGGATACGAAAACTGATTTTTTATTTAGTACAAAAATCTTCGTATTGACCCGATATTTGAAATGGGTATACTAATACCAGGCAAAAAATAATCTGTACATAGTAAATACGCATAACACAATAAAGATTAGGATCGTAATTATACCAATATGTTTCGACTTGTCTTTGTGAAGAGTTTTTACATTTTGCTTGTGTTTATCTACTTCAGTTTTTAATGCTAAAATTTCTTCTTCCAAAACATCGCGCAATGCAGGATCAATATCAGGGTTTTCTAAAGCATCTTCTAATCCACGAATCCTATTGCCTAAATGTAGTAAATCATGTTCAACAGAGTCAACCTGATACATAGAAACACGTAATAAATTTTATTGTAATGTTGCTAGAATTACGATTATATTTTTCCAGCTTAGATGCATTGCTTACATACTTGTTCTTTTAAACTGCATGTTCCAGGGTATTGGAAGGGTTGATGGCGAAAACTCATTTTTATAATTTTCAATAATTTATTTTTCCTTTTGCTATTTACTACTTTCAATGTTAAACTTTTTTATAGCGATATACGATATGCACTAGCTTCATTTGACATTATTACCCTTTTACTTTCTCATTATATTTTTCCCCTAAGCAAGAAAAACCGGTAATATGCAGTACGCACACAGTGAACATAAATGTTTTAACTAGCAACATATAATGCCCCACATTTCAATTTAAAACAAATATTACTTATTTTTATACATATATATATGTATATGTGTATAAGGGTTTATAAATTATGCGAATTTATTTAAAAATGCATACATAGGTAAGTTAAAATTACATTTATTTTAAAAATATTCCGAAATAAAATTCATATAATTTTATGCTTTTATTTGGTTATGAATTTTCGGAGAGCTGTAACATGTTTGACTAGAATTGTGGTTTACATTAAGCCGTTGTTGTTATTTTTAGTAATGGCAGCTTTTACGGTATTTGGAGATTTTTTCTTTTTTTTAATTTTTACGTTTTAATTACGCTTTCTATTTAAATAAACCTTGGCAGTGGCGTATAATATTCGTGAGCAAACGTATATATTGCCTAAAGCACAACCCAATAGAGCACCAACTACATTTGGTATTGGATACGTTTGCCAATCGCGATCCCAATCTAATGGGGCAACAACAGAGCCAGCCCAAGCTCCTAGTATACCACCAACAGCATTATATTTGAATAAGCCAAGGGCATTATCTTCACTCTTTGTAATTGTATCGGGTTTTTCACAGAAACATACTTGCATTGCTCCGCTGCCGCCCAGAAGGAACACAGTAGGCGACACTGTTTGTAGAGTAAGCAAAATGGCCAATACAAAGGTTTGCTCATAGTTCTGCAATACTGGTGCCCCTAGTATAATACAAATGAAGGCGTAAAGTACTGTACATAAACATTGCAAGAGCAGTCCTCCGCAAATTTCTTTCACTGTGAAGTAGGATGCACGCTTTTGCCGTTGTTTTGGTGTAATTGAATTATCATCATTTCGGCTATAGTAACGTGCAAGTAGTACCTTCGACACTTCCCCAATGAACACTATAGGCACTATAAACGAGCTCCAAAGGCTGCCCACTGTGGCCCAATTACCTTGAAACTGCATATAAGTCATACAGACAATCACAGTACCCAAGCTAATGGATAAATGAAAAAGTTGATGTTTTGTTTTCTGCTGGTCAAATTTTACAGCCATTTCTAACCAGAAATTTTTGTTACAAAATATATTATTAATCACGCCTTCTAAATTGTGTTTTGATTTTACAATTCGTCTAAAGTTGCCAGCTATTTTAAATTCGTACTTTTACGGAAATGTGATAAAAATGGTATAGCACGTTTGATGCTAAGGCATAAGAACTGTCTTCACAGGCTGTCCTTGAAATGCTAGGATTTACAGAAAAGAACACTTCAGGTTGCATTAACGTACTGTAAATAATTGGGAAATTATCAAGTATTACGGATTACCACGGTAAGTTGACAGCTGACACGGATTTAAGCAATTACTTACATAGAACAAGCTATAATTACGGAAACAACAAATCTTTGCGCTATATAATTTTCAAACCTCAAGAAAAGTAAATGGAACCTAACCTCATATATGTAAAATTAACATTTGCAATATTTTAAAATCTCACTAAGCAAAAAAACTCGAAAAATTAAAGCCTTTATTCTGTCATGCCATCAGTTAGCTTGGTTCTGTTTACAAGTTTTGTCTTTTAGCCAAGGCGGGACTTGTTTTAAGTGAATGAATCTTCATATATTTTAGCTTTTCTGTAAGGCGATACTTCTTTAAAGCAATACGAGGTATACAAATCAAATGTATGTTTTCTCAATCTACGTACATATTTGAACAATAAGTGATAAGTGCAAGAAAGTTGTTTTGTGTGAACTTGGACTAAGGGTCAAGAAATTTTTTTAATCTCGGTGCTTTCCCGGCATATTATCATCTTTTATTAAAGTGTATACCAGTATTTGTCTTTAATAAATTTTTGCCCGAAAACTTTTTCGATCTTGCGTTTGTTTGCATATTTAGAGGAATATGTCGGATTACCAACGAAGCAATATCCTAGTTAGGAGTAGAAGACCAATCGCGGATCCTATCTCTACGCCGACACCACCTTTAGAAAGTTTAGACGGGGAAGAGGCGTATGAAGAAAGCTCAAGTTCAATAAACACTAGTGGAAAAATGTCTAACGAATCTTCATATGAAAATGAGAGTTTTAAAGTAAATACTAGAGACCGAAGAGGCATCAGTCCGCCAGATATTTTAGGACAAAAATCCAACAAAAAGGTTGGACCTCATGTAAAACCCAGATATGTTGGGGAAGGTGCAACACCAAAAAATGGTTTTGATTGTTCGGTATTAATATGGCCTATAGCAGTTGTTGTAGTACTTTTTGGCCTCATCATTGGATTTGTGAACATAGACAATAAAAGTGATTGCACATTTGAAGAGTTAAGTCAGAAATATTACAAACAGAATGGGAAAATATGGGATACACTTTCCAGTGGAATAAATAACATTAAAAATAAGCAATCAAAACAATCTGGGGTATATCTTTTTGTTGCCGAAAATGGCAGTAAAATGGAAAAAATTGTTAAAAGTATTGCAGAGCACACATCAAAATGTTTTGGTAAGTTCTACATCAAATATGTTCGCACATATATATGTATATAATTTGTTTGATACAAAATTTATTAAAATATTTTTAGATGAAAAGTTTAGATTAATTGAAATGACGGAAGATGACTTCACATCGCAGAACACAATTGAAGACTATGGCAATGTTATAGAGAAATTCAAAGAAAAACTTGAGAAAGGACGTGTTGCACTAATCGTAAATTTAAATAAGGTATGTATTCATGTTGATTATGCTGTATGAAATAAATACAAAAATCATTTTGATTTCTTACTCAGATTCCAGCCGAGTCAGCACGTGCTTTGCATTTCATATGTGATACATACAATCCAGTTGCTGCTGATATTGTTATATACCTCACTTTGGTTGTACCTTCAACCATGCGTAAGGAATTATCATAGAGCTTTGTTTGTTTAAATGTAAAAATACCTTATTTGTTTAGATAAACCAACACAGGCTGCTCAGAATATGTTAACCGATCTTTGGGGTTCGAAATTGAAAAAGAGTGAATTAGATCCTTTAATAACACGCGTCACGGACGAAGTCATAGCTATAAAGTAATGTTTTAAAATATTTATTAATTTGTAATTTGTATGTAAAAGTGAACCGGATATATTTCGAAAGTTTATTTTCAATAAAATCGCTGTTTGACCAGATGGTCTATTCATATATATTTTGAGGTTGTAGTGCCATTTTCATTTTAACTGTTGAAATTAGTTCGCATTTACCACTGCTCTTTGGATCGATTGTTGGTAAAGCTTTTAAATAAACAATTCATAGCTGAAATTATCTGCGTATCTGTACGTGTTCTGTACGAAAGAAAAGGTGAATTTTTTCTTCTCTGCTCTGAAAAAACACTTATGCCCTTATGCTAATGCTTCTTCCCATCCTCCAATCACTTGTGAAATGTGCCTTTTTGCTAATACCATCATCCTCTCATTGGTCCTTCAGTTTTGGATGAACATCTGGTTGGTTGGTTTGCCCAAAAAATTACGAAAAAACTTTTTGTGTGATCTGATGCATTATGGCGATGCTTCACTTATGCATTTATTTTGTAGAGATTTTCTTATTTTAAACAGAATTGTACTCATTTGGCTACTCAAAGTTAGTTGCAGCGAGCATGTTCTTTTTGGAAGGTGAAGCCAGATTTGATTATTTACATACTTGGACTGCCATTGCATATATTCAAATGCTTAATTTTTACCAAAATAAATAAATGAATGCAAGCTGCGTAATGTTTCTAATAAGATTTATTAAGGGTTTTACAATTTTTTTTTAAACTTTTTTTCCAAAAACAAATAATTATTACGTATGTGTATGCGGTTTCATTATGCTTATCTTGGACATTTAGTGTTTCGTATATATATTCATAACTTATGAGTATGTAGAGAACACTGAGCCACTTAAAAAACAACTTGTATGGTATATGATCCACTGAACTGTTGGAAGATGAAAACTGGTTATTACAATATTGAATCATAAAATTCGATATTAGCCGAGCGTAAATAATCCTAATAAAATAAATATATTAAAACCATAAATTTGTTTAAAAAATAAATAATATTGAAGCAAGTAATGAAATGATAATATAAAAAAAACAATGTTTCGAAGAATGTAATCAAAATTAGCCTTACGGCAAGTTAATTCACAAAATTGTATGTTAGAAGTGAGTAGTACTTTTTTGATTTTAAAATTTTAAACAAGGATATATATTTAAATTACGTTAAAATTATTTAGATGTCTCATAAAATATTTATATTGCTATTGAAATTAGCTGATCGTTTACTGTGTTTTCAATGCCTTTGGACCAAAAATGGCAGCTTCCAGCAGTTTTAAGCTGACGTGTAACTTGACTCCTTTTCTTTCTTTAAATATGCACCAAATGTTTTCAAATATTGCCATGCTGGTTATAACAAGTTAGCTACGGTGTTAGAGCAAAATCACTTACATTTCATTGTAAACCATCTTTAAAATTAGGCACACGTTTATTAAATAAATATTTTTCTTTATATATAATATAATAATAATGGACAAATATGACGATCATATGTACATTTTACAGATACTATAAAAAATAATAATAAATAGGACCAAAGAGGTTTTTATTTCTTTTGACAGTTCCTTTTGTTTTATCATCAGCCTAATTAGTTCGCGCAGAAAGATGTAAATGTGACCTTCATAGCGAAAACATCTGATATACTGAGTTTTAACTTTTAATTTTCCGGTGCATACATATTATTATGCCGTTGATGTTTTTTTCTGTTTTTGTTTTAATTTTTTTTTTTTTACAAAGCTTACACTCTGTTTAATAGATGTTATTTTTTTTTTTTTTTTAGTAATGTGCATGTAGTTCTTATGGATTCTTTACTAAAATACATAATATATTTGGTTGTTTATTTGTATTAAACGCGATTTTCCTTGCTCAAATGCTCATTCTTTCCTGTTGTTGCTTGATTGATTGATTTTGTTGGTTTTCAGTGTGGAATCTCATAAGTGGCACCCATTAATTTGATTCTTTATGCTGTACTTTCTGTTGTGGTATTCTGCACTTCATGACCAACATCCTATGTTTATATCAATTGTTTGGTGGAAGATTTAATTGGTTGGTTGATGGGATATTTGAATTTGGGTGTCGGATGTGTGTGTGGATAGTTGTTCGAATTATTGGCATTTGATTTTTGATTATTCAAAGGCGTAGGATATTTTTTGACGGGTTAAACAACGGTACATAATGCAAAACGAAAAATAAAATGAATTAATATAAATAAAAATTGCTACAAAACTAAAGTAATTTATAAAAATATGTTGCATTAGTGTGGGTAAATGCATAATGAACATGAAAGTATGTTTATAAACTAACAAATCATTCAATATGTGCATATAACAAAAGTAAAACAAATGTTGTTTATGAATATAGAACCACTACATATGGATATTCTTATTAGTGATGCTCTTCGGATTTATATTAAACGGTACAATACAAATTTCTCATTTGAGTATTGGTTGAAGTTATTATTACAAAATTGAAATTTTAGAGCTGCAGTTTGGCAGTATTATTTACTTATATAACTCGCAAATAAATATGTACCGAATTGTAGTTTTTAACTAAATTTTTTTTTAATATATGATAGTATTTGGATGATAAATGTATTTGTAAGAATATAATTAAATGGTATTTTTGTGGCACAGCTCATTATGCCACTATATCTAATATCTGCCATATTCGACAACTGCGTCATGTTCGCTGCATTTAATATTTTTAGCAAATTCAGTTTACCTGCTGTGGCTGTTGGTGTTGACCTTCGCCACCAGGGGCACCTCCAGCGCCACTGGATTTCCTGTTTCGTCTTGGACGATTGTTGCGCGGAGGTCCTTGTCCACCATTGCCTGAAAAAATGTTCGCATGTGAAAGAAATAAGTTTAATAATTTTATTCAAAATATATTGCTCACCATCCTCGCGTGGACCACGACGTCCACCACCATTATTGAAATTACGACGGACGAAACGTCTTGTTCCACCACGTCGCCCGGGCATACCTTGACCATCACCGCCCCTTTGTGTGGAGTCAGCGTTCTGGTCATTTCCGCCCTCATTCATTCCGCTTTCACTACCACCTGAGCGTCTACCTTGGTTTCGTGGATAATAGTTATTAAAACGACGTCCTCGACCGCCACGGCCACCAGGGCCTGCAGGTGGACCTCCACCGCGGCGGTAATTTCGACGCGGACGTTGCTGTTGTTGCTGTTGCTGCTGACCATCCGCTCTAATCTCACCTTCGACTCCTTGCTGTATATTGCCGTCGGGTCCTTGGTCTTGTGGCTTGCGGCGATTGCGGTTATTCCATGGACGATAATTACGGCGTTTATCGGCCGCAAATTGACTACCACGTACTGGTTCACCAGATGGTCCAGTGACGTTGGCGGCTTCATTGCCCTTCTCCCCGATAACCACATCAAATTCCACAACTTCGCCGTCACCAACGGAACGCACTGCTTTTTTAGGATTATTTCTCGCAATCGCACTTTGATGTACGAAAACATCTTCCTTGGTGTCGTTGCGATTAATGAAACCATAACCGCTCTTTACATTGAACCATTTCACGGTGCCAGTTACTTTAGTTGCTAAAAACAAAAAAAAAAAAAAAAAAATATATATATATGTGTTTATAGGAATATAACATTCAAAATGAGTATATATATAAAATTGAACCAATAAAATAATGGAATTTATGATTTTCGTCTAGATATAATTATTTTCGAATAAACCACGTTGTAGGCACTAAAACAGTGCCGGTTGGATAAACGAACAGAGCTTTTACGCGCCGGTGACCGCGCACATTGTACCAACAAAATGGCGTCGTGTGTATTTAGGTAAATTATTTCTATTTTCAGCGGCGATACACATTAACAATAACTATAAAACTTTATATAAAAATAAAAATTATATATATGTATATATATATAGGCACTCAAGATGAAGATTTGCAATATTTTCATGAAATAATAATATATTAAATCTAACCAGCAATAACTTTTGAAGTTAACTGGATAAATGTATATATATAAGTATCACGCGCTTTTCCTCCCCCCCACTGGTAATTCTTTACCTGCTCATATCAATACTCAATAATCGCATTAAAAATTATTTGAATTACCAATGACTTCTTTCGGTGGCAGCGACTTCAATTGGGCCTGAGCAGCATCACCTTGTTGGACATCCTGCTGATGTTGTTGCTGTTGCTGCTGCTGCTCAATCGGTAGCTGTTTGTCTGAGTCTGCCATTTTCTAGCTCACAAAAATTTCGTATGTATTTATTTTCTGTTCTTTTAAATTCCGAATACAGATTCGACGAATTTCTGTTTGCTTTTTAATGTATGTTGGTGTTTTGTTGACGTTAGGGACTCTTTCAACTACTCTGTTGTTAATTTTGAGTGATGGATGGTAAAAAATCACTCCCAATTCTTTTCTGCTGTATCGCAATGGTGTTCTTTCCAGATCTTATTCGATTGACAAAATGGCATCTTCCGCTGGTTACACAAGCCGTCGACAACACATTTCAAATTTATCGATAAAGAAATTATCGATTTCATATCGAATTCGAATCGACTGCCTGTGTTCACTTGATAGCCGGATAATGCATACATAAGGACAAAGAACGGTAAAAAAATAGAAACTTTTGTTTGTTGTTGTTATTAAAAATTATGCTAAATATTTATTATAATCATAATAAGATGAAGCTTATTTATTAGTAGATAATTTAATCCGAATATACATATAAATGTAATACAACATTACTAAATTCGAATGAAACCGAAAGAACTTGAACATTGAGTGAATACTTTTCCGAAGAGCTTTTGGAATACCAATTACTCCAAAAAAAAAAAAAAACTTTTCAACTATTTATCGATTATATTCCCCTCATGTTCATAACGCTTTGAACCAGTTATGTGGACTTGGAAAGCATATACATGAAACTTACAACACTAATCATATACTATTTGCAAAGAAAATTTTGTCTTTCTTTAACCAAATATAATCCAAAATATTTGAACGAGTTTGTAGAAAAAAATGTAAAACCCCAAGTATACGCATATAACTAGAAAACACTATCAAAATATGAAATTATATATATATTTTTTTAATAATTCAATTTATAAGCATTCAAAACTTTTTACATATATTATATATTTCTCTTACAGTGTTCATACAGTAAAATATCAGTCGAACGCAGTTTTAAAAATACAAAGTCATAAAAATCAAAAAATAATATATTTGCCATTGAGTAAATTTGTTAAAAAATGTTTGTATATCGTCATCATTATTTAAACAGTTATATAGAATTTGTATATTTATTAACAAGTTCCTCATAAGTTAAAGTTGGCTTTATATTTTCACCGATGTTTTCTTTGTCCATGTTGTAAGCTTGTTTCGACCGTTCGAACGCCTCAACTATACAGCTTCTAAAATATATTAAAAATAGGTTTGTTAAAATTATAAAGTTAATATATTTTTATATAGTACCTAAATAGCTTTTGATGAAGAACGTAGGCACTAACGTGTCCAGCATCAAGATATCGTACTTCCACACCCGGCCATATTTCCTCCAGACTAGCGCAACCTTCACGTGGCACATACGCATCGTCCTTAGCGCAAACAGCTATTATTAGCGAAGTATCAAATGGCACAGAAAAATTCTTCAGATGTGTACATTCATCCATCATGCCACGCATAAATTGTAAAGCTTCCCGTTCCCACCAATTTGTTTTTGTTATATCGATTTTTTTATTGTCGCTTTGTGCAGCCATGGGTAATATAAATCTCATTAGCTTCGTTAAGGCTGATTGTTCTTTACTATTTTTGATTTCCGTTTGAAGAGCTTTTTCCGAGCTTTCACTTTTTACTAATTCCACACTTTTGTTGCTAATAATATTTTTCGCTAAATTTTCTTTTAAAAAAATTGAATTATTATTTTTTTCTTCCAACTGATTTTGCCTTAGACTGTCCACTTCAATGTTTTTATTGCAAGTTTCGTCAACATGTTCTCTTTGCACATGTCTCGTGTCATTAATATCATTCTTTAAGGCTTGTAATGATTGGTTGAAGTTCTTTATAAATTTTTGGCCGGCCGCGAATGCATCATCTACCACTGTAACCATTTTTGATAAGCGCTCACTATATTTACCATCGGAATGGTATTGAGTTTCAAGCATATCCCAATTAATGGATTGGCTCATGACACCCTGAGAATGTATTCGATATGAGATATAAAAAAAATTATAAAATTTAGAATATATTTACTGTTGTAAATACAGGCGCAGCTGTCGACCACGAGAGGCAGGGAACAAGCACTAGTGGTTTTGGCCAATTGGTTGCCGCCAAGGAGGCCATCTGAAACAAAAAAGGAAATGTAAATATAAAATGAAATTTATTAAAAATAATTGTAGGCAAATTACATGTCCTCCCATAGATAAACCAGTTATGCCCAACGGTCCAAGTCCATTCCTCTCGCACCAATGTAATAGCACCAAACACTCAAGTATAAGACAGCCTCCCATCACAAATATATCGGAAACATTGTGCAAATTTGAGCGACTGAATAAAAGGAATATAAATATTAATTACAATATATTTGCTAAAACGTACAGTTTGATATAATCAAAAAATTTTTAAGCTTAGATATCAAATTAACACCCACGCCTCTTATGAAGAACAAGATCGAAAAACGAGTTGGTACATTAACAACGAAATATGTATGTATGTAAATATCTTAATTACACTTGTTGATCGGGTTTCCTTAGTCCATAGAAAGGATTTTCTAATATTATTGCACCAATGTTGGCCTCCTTAAGCAAGGGTTTTGCAATGAAATTTCGCCTTCGCCAATAGAACTAAAAAAAAATAATAAAAATTCAATGTTCAAATAAACATATGTCATGTTTGAAAGCATTAAAAAAAACTAGCAATTTTAGTGTAAATAATGCACTTTTTAAATCAAATGTACGTTATGCTCACGGTTAAACCATTAACGATAATTCAAAATGAAAAAGTAAGTATGTGGATATAAATATTAAACGGTGGGAACGGTTATTAAAAAGTTATAACCGTTGATTTATTTTATTTCGAATTTCTTTACACTTACGTGATCTCCGGTACCAGCTAAATGAATACACATTGGCTTGAACCGCTCATCCCTCCATTTCTTTGGCAATATGACTTGAAAGTGAGCTTCTTTAGCAGCTTTTGGGACAACACCAGGCATGTGTAATTCGAATGGCGACATAAACTTCCCCTCCAAAATAGAACATTCTGCATATTTCTCATTTTTTGTTATCTCCACCGGATAATCTTGAGGTACTAATTTATAACATGTCTCTCGCCTTGATATGATTTTGCGAAACTCGAATAACCTAAAATATACAACGGAAATATATAAACAAATAACTCATTTGTTTTACAAGAGGTAATACCTACAATCAAACTGTTGCATCGAAAAAACTATGTGACCTCCCCATAATTCCCAAATCCTTGCTTATAAGCTGTTAATTGTACAAAATTATCACGTTGCAAAAGTGTTTATTAAAAAATACAGAGTTCGCATATATGTATGTGGGTGATTTAACCTAATAAAATCTTCAAATTGTTGCTATTTGTATTTGTATAATAGTTATTATGTGTAACGAGATGTGAACATGGTTTGAAGTTGAGGCAATGTATTTGTGTATTGCATTTAATACACTGTAATTTGCAACATTTGTAATTTGTACGTTGTAGCACATACGGTATTTAAATGTATAAAATGATCATATGTATGTCTACACATCGACTATTCTTATATAAAACAATGTCAATTTACTTGCCTTTGTAAATTTTCTGGGGTACCCCATCCTTTTTCAAAAAATCGCGTAATTAGCATACGCCGATAGATGCTATCGAGTTTACTCGGTGGCATGTTTTCAATATAAGCCGGTAATGAATTTTGTAAAAATTTCCGCCAAAAACTTTTTGTAAAACATTCTAAAAATTTTTAAATAAAAATATACTGAAACTGTAGGAAATGTAGGCAGAGAAAACGTCACAGAGTGACAGATTGACATTCAACAGATGTTTTTCTTAACCCGCATACAATCATTCGAAAATGTGCTCCCATATGATAAGTGCTTTTATTTAAATATTTTAAAAATTTATCAATTAAGTAATTTAGATGAGCATAGGATAATTTGGAACTTATTTACTCTTAAAACTAAATTCCGATATATTCCTAATATAATATACGCCTTTCGATTTTAATTACATCGGTTACTCATTATAATTGGCGGTTTTTTTTTATTAATTATGTGTTTTTAATTATCGCAATAAATAAGATATCATTCAGTCATGACTTATACTTCCTATGTATGTTTTATATATGAATGTATGACACTTTTAACTACGAGAACATTCAAAATCCAATATCAGTATCTATCAATATCTGAAAATATCTATAAATGATCCTATCGCTCTCATTTTCCATACCCAAGCCGGATATCCAACTAATTACGCCGAGTAGTACACACTGCTAACTACTCGGCTTCCAGAGCCGATATATCATAATAAAAAAGATGGATACCATAAAATTCGGAGAACTCCTTTCTTCAAAGCTCATAAGCCTCTCTCATCTATTCGCTACTTCTACTATTTTCTGACCTATGGCAAGTCCCTTTAACAGAGTCATATTAATTGAGGTCGTCATATTATTTAGGGGTTTCGATAAACATATTAAAGAAATTGGAGCTTGATAAATGATGTACCAAGATATTAGGGAACGTCTTAACAATTCGAGAAAAATTCATATCAATACATCGAAACAATTCAACTTAATTAGATCACATATTTTGCCAATTTATGCAAGGTTTTTTATCCGAACTAAATAGACACCTTTTCCATTGTTAAAGTTAAAACAATTACAAAAAAAAAAAATCTGTTTATTGATTTTCGGCGTCTTATCAGACAGAATCCAATAAATCAAAAAATTCATTTCTTTTTCTTCGCAATAATTATCTATTCTCGCAAAACATCATCAAAAAATTCAAGTATTGATAAAACATCATTTCAATGTGCGAATTCTTTTGATTCAGTTTCGTTGAACTTTTTTAAAGAGACGGTTGCCCGTTGTATAAGTTTATAAAAATGTTTTTCTTACTGCTAGTAATTAGCTTGATTTTGACACACACAACCGCACAAATTCGTATTGTTAATGGGAAAGAAGGTCGCATCGAAGATTTTCCATATCAAGTAAATATGCTAGCAATTGGTGAAGGTTTTTCGAATTCTTATCAAAAACCGTTATTGAATGATTACATTCATGTATACATACATATGTACTTTCGTATACAACTCGCTTAGGTTTCTTTGCGGCGTTATTCGATACATGTATGTGGTGGTTCGGTTGTGGATACTCAATGGGTAATTACGGCCGCTCATTGTATTGAAAATTTCGAGAAACAACCAAGAGTATATTCCTTACGCATCGGCAGTACAAGTCGTGGAAAAGGTGGAGAGGTGGTTTCCATATCCAAAATTCATAAACATCCTTTGTATAATAGCGATACTATGAACTTTGATGTTGCTTTGCTACGTACACAAAAGAATCGTTTGCGTGGCGAATTCGTACGTCCAATTAAAATTCCTCCAGTAAATACTCCCATCACAGACAATGCGGAAGCGATCGTTAGTGGATGGGGTCATATGAGTTCATCGGAACATGTATTATCTATACTACTGAAGTATACAACCGTTAAAATAGTTAATCAACGAGAATGTAGTGAATCTATGAAAACACAGGGAATTGTAACTGAAGCGTAAGTCTTGTTTTCTCTAATAGAATTGCATTAATTTTAAAATTTACTTTAGAATGTTCTGTGCTGCTGCACGTAATACGGATGCGTGTCAAGGTGATAGCGGTGGTCCAATACAAATTAATAATTTACTCATTGGTGTAGTGAGTTGGGGTGTAGGTTGTGCTGATCCACATTATCCAGGTATTTATACTCGTTTGGCTTATCCTACAGTACGTATTTGGATCAAATTGATGACCGGATTATGATTTACTTAAACTCCCAATACAATTTAATAAACAAAATCAATGTATTCAAATAAGAAGAAAAAAATTATAAATATTCATGTACATAACAAATATTAATCAAAATACAGAATGAATTTACTGATTTTTAATTAAGTGGCTTAACTTTATAAGAAAGTTGATGTTATAGTGCACATCTAACCCCGATTTGGAAAAGGTATAGCTAGTCATTGCAATCAAAGAGTAGAAAGCGATTTCAGATAAGCAGGCTTTAAGACGACTATATCGAGTCTGACTAAATAGCAGTTAATTCGAATACAACAGGAGTCCTCGTGGAGAGATTCCGATTACGTCATATATTGGAAAAGAGTTGATAATAGTATTGACTGACTCTCTGAGAGTGGGTTATAAAGCTCATAACGGTGCAATGAATATCTTATTATTGCTATTTTGGTTTAAGAACAATAAAAATGGCTGGCCACAAATTTAGCCCGTTACCAATCGCTTTACAATCTCACGTATGTAAACTACACTTAAAGCTAAATTTTCCCCGTAAAGTTGATCATGCTAATAAATGATTTTTACTTGTGGCACCCTGCAACTAGCGAATAATGACATTTAAGAAATGTATTTTGTTTATTTACCAATTGGTTAAGGACTTGGTTATGGCTGAGCAACATAAGTAAGTTTTTCTATTAATTTATATATCAATTAAATATAAATTGGATTGTATCCAAAGTGGATCGGTTATCAAAATTAATTGTGATTTCATTTGAGAGGCTTATGAGATTCTCAAAAATATTTGAATATGCGCCAATCATTCAGGTATCCATGAGTGTAATTTAAGTGTTGATACAAAGAAGCGTGCCAAAAACTCCATAATTATTAGACATCTTTAACAAAAGATCGCTATGCTCCATACTCTATACTATGCTCGATACTCTATATTAAACTCCATACTCCATGTTAAAACTCTCATATGTCAAAAATACACACTGTGTTACTATTTATTTTAATCAATCATTTGTGTATTTCAGATTAATATACCCCATAAAACATTTTCGTGATTTCCTCGAAAATGATATTCGTTTGGATGGCCGTTCATTTGATAAATACCGACCAATTGGTGTAAATATAGAGTCCTTTCAACACTCGTTAGGTTCAAGTGCAACGAAAATTGGGAACTCAAATATATTATGTGGCATACGAGCAGAATTAGCTAAACCGCGTGCCTCTACGCCTCTGGCCGGGTATATTGTACCTAATGTTGACATGTCATTTACTTCATTTTCAAAGTCTGCAGCAACAAGTAACAATCAAAATGTTGCCGAAATATTAGAATGCTTTATTTATCGGATATTGAATGAATCACATTGCTTAAAATTAGAAGACTTATGCATACACCCTGGAAAACTGGTCTGGTGCCTTTACATAGACATAATTGGCTTGGAGGTGGATGGTGGTGTATTTGATGCTTCAATTTTAGCCTGCGCCTCAGCACTGAGCACACTGAAATTACCTAAAGTTACATATGACGAGAAAAGTGGAAAAATAGAGATAGGTGAAGAAATGAAGGAGTTGCATTTAGATATTTTCCCCGTTGTTAGCACTTACAGCATTTTCGACAAGTGAGTATTTATTTGTAAGTCCGATAATTTCTTATAATTATTGAGAACAAATTTTTTCTAAAGCGTTGTGTTGGTGGATCCCACTTATCGAGAGGAGAGTATTTCAAATGCAGTATTTCATCTCGGCGTGCACGAAGACACCGTTGGTCTATTTCATAAAAGTGGCGGAGTGCCAATTTCAGTAAAAGAAATTCAACATTCGATAAAAAACGCTGTAAAACGTGAACAAGAGATTTCAAGTCTATTAAGAAGTTTGAAAAGTAATAAATAAAAACAACAAAATGTTTATATCTTATATTTTGGTAGTTTAATTGCTACTGACAACTTCAGGTTTATTTAACAGTTAATAACTTCAAATTTTAATTCAACGCAAACTTGCCAATTATTTGAATCTTATTACATTCGAAGGAACATTTACAAATTCTTCATTAAGAAGCTGTGAAAAATTCCATTCTATTTAATTTTATTTTAAGTATATATTAGGTTTTTTAAGAAGTATTTGTACATAAAAGCATAGGTAATTAAACATTCCATTTAGATACATAGGCAACCAATATATGCATGTTTTATGTGTATTAAGCAATTTTATTTAAAGAGATGCTCAACAACTATTCTAGGTCATCAATTAGTACTGAAGATTGGGCGCCATCAAGTCCAAGTGGCATGTCTGCAGCCCCAATTGAGTTAGCTGCCACTATTTTAGGTGTGTCACTCATTTCCGCATTTGCACGATTACCGAATTCTTGCATTTTCAAGATCAGCATTGCAAATACTTGTGCTGGTAAGGATGTTTGCAACACTTGCAGCAGACGTGCCGGTTGACCGCAAACAACAATAGCATTAGCTAGATGTTCTACACCAGTTTCAAATTCACCCCGAGCAATTAATGTTTCACCTAACTGGATTTCTTGTAAGAAATACCTGAAAATATACAAGAATTAGTAAGGCCAAAATAAATATATGTAGAGATATTGTATGTTTGCATGCTATTATTTAGTTTATATCCCAATGACGCATTGTTTGTTAACATTTCCAATACACACCCTGTGCACAGTTCTACTATTGTATTATGAACTCATGTTTAGAACTATCTTTTGTACTTGATAAAAGCACGTTGCTAAATTACATAAGTATAAATAAGGCTTTGTATTTACCTTTCAATTGCTTCATGGTCATTGAGATTGGGGATACCACTACGGCCAGCGTTTCCATTCTTACGGGTACGACGTCTGCCTGAAATACACACATTTTAGTTCAAAACTTCACGTTGTATCTTTGTCCATACACTCATCGTTACTTACGTTCACGGACTTTCTTTTTGTATTCGGGGTCAGCACGTCTTTTACTGTCGAAATAAATGCAATAACCGATGAAAAGTGTACCCGCTACTCCAGCAGCTATTCCTATCGCTGTTTTATTTATCGCATTCATATTTAATTACTTTAAATCTTAAATATAATTAAATATATTTTGTTCGTATATGAATGGAAAAATTTTGCCGTCACCCAACTTGCTCCGACCTAGAACGGGCAGAGTGAACGTAATGAGAAGAAACTAGTGAAACACAGTAGGCCAAAAATATTAATTCGATTTTTCTTACCCATTATATAAGGTGGTTCACAAAAATAAAAGATTTGAAATAGAAAAACTATGAAATAGGAAACTTTTACAAGTTCTCATCTGTCACATTGAAAAGTAAATTTTTCGCAAAATATATAAAATTCGTTCAATAAAATCGATGAAACAAACAAGAATATCATAGATACGTTCTTATCTTGGTCATAATTCTTTCAAATTTATAATTACATCGAATCAATGCAAATGCTACTTCTGGAGCATAAACAAACAAATGAATAACTTCAATTTTCAAGAACTTAGCCGCAAAAGCTTGCAAGGCAATCGCTGGTTAAGCCGAAGAATGTATATTAATATTAATTAACAAATAATAATTTACGTTCTTTGCATTTACACTGAGCACCTTTGTTGAGATAATTTTCTGACACATATTTAATTTCCGAAAACTTTAGTATGCTACTTGCTTTTGCAATTCAACAACAAACACTTTATTTTATTTATTTATTTTACTGATTTTTCATATTCCTCCTTATCGAGACTTTGTGTGCTTTTTGACATGTAGTACTTATGATACATTTTTTAAGTTTTCTATCAACTGTTAAAATTTTAGCTTTCACAGCCATTTGCGAAAATTCTTGGAAAGCTTTTTTCAAGTGTTTTATGGTTATAAAATCATACTATAAATGTTTTCGAATGTTTTTGCATTCGAATAATTTCGGATTTCTTTGCAATAAATGAGTTCATGCGTGGGAATAGTTTCTGTCCAGTTATTGGCGGAAGGATGTTTTGTATCCAATTATAGGAATGTTCTTCGAAGATTTTCTATAATTTGTGAAAGTGAAAGTCAGATGTCGCCCTCATGATATTAAATGTTACTGCAACAGGGTGGACATAGAATATATAATTTAAAAAATATATATGTATATTATATTTGACACCCTCACACTTTTGGGTAATTGAGCGTTAATTTCTTTGTGCTCGTGTTTTTATTATTGCCGTTTTTTTATTTAAAAACCAACGACTAAGGTTCTTATTTAAGCTTTTCGCCCTTTTGCCGATGCCGAACGAAACAATTTAATTTCCAAGTTGAGCAGACGGTCTTAATGTTATTCCAACAAATGAAGGGATCTACAGTTTATTCTAAGGCGCCTCTGAACGGCCGATGGTTTTTATAAGGAGCATTTATTTTAAGTCAGAAACATACTCGCCCTAAAATCTCTAAAACCCAGACCAGTTTTTGTAAGGTTGGGCGTCTTTAATAAAGCGTCTACCGATGATAAGCCTGGGTGACGAATCTTCAGCAGCCAGTTATGACGAAGTTCGAAAAATGATTGTACACAAGAAGATGGGCAAAGAATAGAGCTAAGGTTTGCTGGTTCAGCTATTGAAGAACGGTAGAACAAATTGCTCTGACCCACCTATGGAATGGACTAACCCTCAAATAAGAGCGAAAGTCTCAATCTTTGTTCTTAAGCCTTGATCACCACTGCATGGTTCCTTCCTATTTGTATCAAAAAATTAGGATTTTGCTGTGATGTTAATGTCGCATCTATACGTGGATTGAACAAGAGCTGCTAGTCCACCTTCTGATTAAGGAAAAGTCCGAAAAGCAATTGCTCAACTCTATAACAACAAAGCAGTCGTGGCAGATTGTCAATCGGTTGAATTTATCAAATAAGCTGGAGAACAACTGGCAAAATTTAGTCGAACGAGTGCATATCTGACCATTGCTACCCAAATGTGCTCTGCCCAATTCGTAATACTCACACCATAGACCAGATATTCAAGATGCATCTCAGGAATGACCCGTCAGAAAAGTATCAAAAGATACTACCGCTCCGAGCCGTTCGATACCGAAAGAGATTTCAGACAACTTGACTTTCTATCTAACAACTTCTTCACACCAATACTAGAACATAACATGAGCAGCAAAGCCAAATCGAGAGGATTTAGAAGATTGTACTAAGAGAGCGTACAACAGCTGGTGTATGGCCTCAACAACCTCACTGTTAGTAGAGGACAATGAAGTTAAAAGAATGGATCAGGTAGTGAACGAAAGCCAGACGAGTATCCATTTCAACTGACTGCTTGCAATCGTTACAGTTGACAGTCACCACTTAGAAGACGTATGACACCAAATTCCATAGGTTGCTCATCATTACCGACCAACCGTATCGTGCAGAAGCGCGGCCGGTCCGGATGACTGAAAACACTACAGATTTGAAAGTTTTCAATACCGTAAATAGCGGTGGAAGAGATAGACCAACACTCAGTTGTAGACGGGGATGAAGGAGAATCTGACTTCACATTGGTTGTTTGCAAATGGGTACCAAAAGTAGAAACGTTTAAAACACCGCTATAAACGTACGCGGTACTGTGCAGAAGAAGAGCTACTACACAGCTGTTAGTCTTCTAAACAGATGTTCATATGAATGAAAACCTACAAGTTCTCCGTACAAAACAAAACAAATTCATTCGTAAATAATTAACAGAATCAACAAGCCTTGCTTTGATCTGAAGTTGAAGACACATACATTCAAAGCGACCAAGGTGTATACGAAAATCACACACATGCCCAAAAACTTGCCTATTCCTTCCCCTATACCCGCCATCCACAAGCAGTTTCATTTCGACGATAGCAAAATTTGCAAAAATCAGAAATTCTAGTTGAGCTGAAGTAAAATAAAACATATTCAAAGGTACACCAGCATGTATATGAAAGACCCATACATACACAAAAGTATGCCAACTTCTTTTCCCTCGCACACCGAATCCACAAGCAATTCCTTGGCGACGATTTAAAATTTAGCAATTTCAAAATATAAAACGCGAAAAGTAATCGAGAGAAGGATTTGAACCCGCGCAGCAAACCATTTTGCCACTGATCACTTTGCATTTTCGTTGGCAGAATTGTTATTTATTTAGATCGCTGACAAAAGTATTGACAAAATCTCAAATAATATTCACTATTAGCAACAAATACAATTATAATTTCAGTCATTCATAGTGAAAACTCGAGAATTTTTTTAAAATATTTTAAATTTTAACTTTTTAAATAAGTTTTAATATTAAAATGATGATTTTTAAAAATAAATTTTTTTAATATTTTAATATTTTTTATATTTTTCTATTATATTAAATACATATTTAACTCACTTGAAATTGCCAAAGAAAGCAAAGGTGTTTTTTAGCAGAAAATTCATTCCGATCATATCTCAGCATACTTTACATAATCGCCCATAGAATTAAAAAACTGCGGTCGTCTTTTATGCTTTTAGCATAGGTTTAACATAGGTGTAACATAGGTGTAACATAGGTGTAACATAGGTGTAACATAGGTGTAACTTTTTTTCTTTTTGAACATGACAAAATTTGTGTAAAAAAAACTAGCTAATTGAAACTAGCTATGACCGTCTGTCTGACTTTTTTTATCACAATTTATTGACACTGTAAAAATTCTATCATTTGTAAGAACTGCTCAAACCAAACCAAGGAAGACGCACATCATTCGATTATTGACACTGAACAACAAGATCAGAGAGCTATAAAAAGTGTTTCTCTCCTGTTTCAGATTGTTGATGCATGTTTTTTATAATTATTATTATAATTATTTTTTTCCCCCATTTTACACAGTCTGTTATCAACACTGTTAAATTAACATCGGATAGCTGAATTGAAACAACAACGCCGAGAGCAGCGGAGAGCGGAGAGCACATGCATTCGGCTAAACAGCCAGTTACTCAAATACAGAAGGTATACGCTCACACACTTTCTGAAATACTGAGATACTTTCAACGGCCAAATGCCAGCCAGCAAATAGCAAACGAGAAACGGTGTGAACAAGATACGATTAGGATTTTTAGTTCAGTTCACCGTAGGCTTTAAATACGTCAAGTTTGTCTCAGCTACATACGCGGGTGGAGTGATCTCGAGTTGGGCGTAGGTTGACAAAGTAGGCTTTCATATTAAAAAAAAAATATAAATAATAAACTTCTATATACATATACTTACACATCTGTATATATGTATGTATGTGCATGTTTATGAGTACAAATAAGTATGAAATCAAAAAAAAAAAATTCTGAATATGTTAAATAAAAAGTTAATTTAATAAGTTTATGTTGTTGGTTAAAGAAAAACAACAACTCAATGCAGTTCAATGCTGTGGCAAATTAATAATTTAATACCTGAATAAAAGAAAAGCAGCTTCGCCACTGACTAGCTAGCTGACTGGCTGACTGGCTGGCTGGCTGACTGGCTGGCTGGCTGACACATCAGGTACTCGAATCCCAACTGGTTTTTGTGAAGTGTTGTTTGTTTGTGTGGTGGTGGGCTTCAAATGCACAGCTACATGTATTGTACATACATATGCACGTGTATATGTGTCATAAACGCGAGCGAGAGAACGTGTGCGTTCAGTTCAAACGGCTTTAAATGATGTTCTTGCACAAAATACTTGCTTATACGTAGTGTGTTTGTAGTATTTTATGTGCCTCTACATATGTATACATATGTATATGTATGAGTATGTATGCGCGTGTGTGTGAGTTACAAAAAAGTCTTAATGAATTACAGAAAAGGCAAAAGTAATTCAATTAATATTTTATTACAACTAAAGAAAATCCGAGTGTAGAATATTAAATTCACAAATATGTGTATATAAATATGTAAGTGCATATACCGTGTGTTTATTTAAATGAAGGTGATAAGGAAAGAAATGTTGCATAGCCGCTTCTACATACTATTGTTGAGTGTTCTAAATAATTTAATAGCGTTGTCTGTTTGTTGTCATACAAAAATATATATATATATGTATGTATATATATATAAACGAAAAATTGAATAAAAAACGCCGTTTAACACATACTTACACGCATACAAAATTACAAGCTTGTATTTGTATTATAATACATACATTGTATTAATGTATAAGCACAAACTTGTATCTGCTAGATAATATTTATTAAAAGTGTGTAGTGTATATATGTATGCATGTACGTACGTATGCATGTGGGTAAATGCCGACTACCTGTGCGCATCAAATAAAAACAAGTAATAATAGTCACTTTAATGCTTGGAAATTCTTTTGCTATCTTTGTTGCTCCAGCAAATGGTAAAAAATCAAAAAAATACAAAATAAAAAATAAAAATTCTAACAAAAAGTAACAAATTAAAAAAAATACAATTGTCATTTAGAGTATAAATAAATAAATAAAAATATGATATTATAAGTTATTTTTATAGTTGAACTTTTTTTTTCATCTTTCTTGCAACAAAAAAAGGGAAAAAATAAAAAAATCAAAATATTTGACAAAAATGAAAATAAAACTAAAAACACAGAGAAAGAAGAAATAAAATTGAAAAAAAAAAATTAAATTAAAAAAAGATTACATCAACAAAAAAGAACAAGCCAATATTATTAAATTATAAATTACTTTAATAGTAGGAATTCATTTTAAAATTTATACCAGCAAATGTTATAGAATCGAAAATAAGTACAAAAAAATAAATAAATTAAAATACAAACAAAAATACCAACAAAAAGGATTAAATTATTAGTTCCTTCAATATCAATTAAAATAGAGAGAAATTATAATAAATGTAAAAATAGAAGAAAGTCGAAAAAATAAAAGAAAAAATTATAAAAATAAAAATAAAAAATTAAAATGCAAATAAAAGTACAAGCAAAAAATATTAAATTACAAGTTACTATGATAGTTGGAAATTACTTTACCATCTTTGTTGCACAAGAAAATGCTAAACAATCGAAAAAATGCAAAAGACGAATTTAAATAAAATTTAATTTAAAAATAACATCTATAAAAATACAAAAAAAAAGAAGATGAATAAAATTTAATATAAATATAACATCGATAAAAATACAAAAAAAAATAATGAAAACAAAAATTAAATTGAAAATTCAAATTAAAGCACAAGCCAAAAAGTATTAAACTATAAGATTCTCTAACAATTGGAAACTCAGTTTTTGTTTTTGTTGCCCAAGAAAGTTTTAAAAAATTTACAGAAAAAAAATAAGCCATAAAATAATCTTTGTTGTTCTATTATAAAGAGTAATAAATAATAAAATAAATGCAAAAAAACAATAAATATATGTATATAAAAAATAGAAAAAAAAACATCGAAAAAATGAAAGAAATTAAAATAATAATACGGATAAAAATACAAATTCAAATAAAAGTACAAGCCAAAAATATTAAATTTTAAGTTACTTATAATAGTTGTAAATTCTTTTTTTATTTAATCTTTGTTGTAACTGTAAATGTTAAAGAATCGTAAAGAAAAAAAAAATAAGAAAAATTAAAAAGCTAAGATAAATAAAAATATTATTAAAAATTAAAATACAATCACAAATGTATTACTAGAAATAATTTTTTTTCCAGGCCAATAGCCCAAGCTGCTAGTTGCCTTTTATGTAATGTAATTATTAATAATTATATTTCACTCAAATAAATAAATAAATAAAAAAAAATTAAAAAAAATTTTTCCAATATTTGTTGCAACAGAAAATGATAAAGAAATAAAAACAAAATATAAAACAATAAATATAATATAAAGTAAATAAAATTAAAAAAAATATATAAAATGAAAATAGAAATAAAAATTTAAGCATTTGTATATTTGCTACAACATCAAATTTTAGTTTAAAATGAAAATAATATGTCAAAATAGCAAACATAACAACTAATAATATACATACCTACATATGAACATTCATACATGCATACAAACACGTATAAATCTCTATGTTTGAATGAAATTAAGTGCAAGTGCCCGTTTAACCTTAAAAAGGGTGTGAACAATTGTGAAATTCATTGAGTTCCGTACACAATACTATGACAAAAATGTCCAAATGTGCACATTGGAAAGTCGGTTGTATTAGCAATTAAACATATAAAAATATATACTATTTATATAATAAATTTCAACTAAAAAAAAAAATAAAAAAAAAATTAAAATATGAAAAAAAATGAAAAAAATAAAAAAATAATAATTAAGGAAAAAACTACAAAAAAGAATAAAATAACAAAAAAAAACGAAAGAAATCCAAAAAATTAAAAAAAGAATTAAAGAATTAAGAATTAAAAAAGAATTAATAAATAAAAGAAATTAATGAATTTCAATATTGTGAAAGTATACATATGTACATAGTATGTATGTAGTTAAAAAGTGCATAGCTTTGGAATTTCAATTTCATGTTCAACATAAGCTGCACTACAGCAAGAAACAAGAAAAACATTTTTTTTTCATATTTTTTTTTTTTTTGTAATTAGTGATCGCCTCAGCGTTCATCGTACGCATACAGTGTTGTTGTTGTTGGTATACTACATATTTGCTTTTATTTTATGACCTAAATGCTATGTGGTAAGATCAAACTAAACATAAGCGAGTAAAATAGTAAAATTAAAGTAAACTCGCGACACAACCAATTTACATGCATACACACATGCAAGCAGGCAGACTTATGTACATATATACATATTTATTCCTGTTAATAAAGCACCTTAAATGTATGGCTTGGTCAATTTGAAAACAAAAAAAAAAACCATATTTTTTTATTAGTAAATTAAAATTTTCAAAATGTTCTAAAATGCAACATAAATTTACTAATTAAGTTAAACATGAAAAAAAAAAACAAAAACAAAAATTAATTAAGTTCATAATTTCATGTTGAAAATACAAAAGTGCTATGACAATAAATATTTTGTATATGCGTGTGTGCACGAATGAAATGCATAAAAATACATATGTACATATATACATACACGTATGTGTATAAGAGACTTTGCGCTGGTGCCTGTTGTTAAGTGTCATCTCTCTAATGCAGCTGTAAAAATTAGTGGCATTAACAAGCTTAAATTGTTTCCAATGGCTGTTGTGTGTCATTAATGATTCTTCTAAAGAACCTTTGTGCATATTTACAAACCACTAAATACTAATGCTGCCACCGTTAAACGCTTAGAGTGTTGTATAAACTTTCATTGAATTTGCCGTAATGGAGAGGGTCTATAGTGTCTTTCATTTTAAGAACATCGCCGTTCTTGTAACAAAGTGAAGTAGTTCTTTTGGCCCTTAATACCTAGCTGACTGAAGGTCTTGCTGCTTTTCTTCGCCAAGTAAGTTTAGCCGCACGCCTACATTTGTCGTCCTCTAGTAGATCTGCGTTGAAGGCACGCGATGATGAGAGACAATTTCGCAATTCTGCAGCCCTCTATATACGAGGTGGGCTCAAAAAATATCGCAAATTTTGTAATCCCCATGAGATATTATACACTTGTGCCAACGGTTTTTCCAATCTTCGAAGCACTTCAAAAAATAATTTTTTTTTATCTTGTTCAGCTCCTCCTTCGATTTTTGTTTTTCCACAAATCCGGGCGTTTCTAGCGGATTACTTCGCGTAAATTGCGCATAACTTACAGGCAATATTCCTTATTGACCGTTCTATCCTGTGGCAAGAACTCATGATGCACCACGCCCCTGCATTAAATTTTTTCGTCTGTTGTTGAAGTGCTCGGTCGTCCGGCACGCTCTTCGTTGTTCACATCTTCTCTGCCTTCTGAGAACATTTTGTACAGCCGATAAACGTTGCTTCGGTCCAAGGTAGCTTCGCCGTATTCCACAGTCAACATTCGGAATGCATCCGCGCATTTAATTTCGTTTTTCACACAAAATTTGATACAGGTTCTTAGATCCATTTTTTTGAATAGGTAAAAATCGAAGACCATCCATCCAAAACCCATACAAGCAAAGCAGCTGTCAACAATGAAGTGAATATTCAAAATGGCCGAGCTTGTCGGCATAAGTGACAGACATGAGTACCAACATAACGCCACAAAAGAATCGAAATTCGATTATACGTAACACGCGAAAATTCAAAATTCGCGATACTTTTTGAGCATACCTCGTAAGAGGCATCTTCAGAAAGCAAGTGTA